TTTTTTTTTGTTCCTGATTTGTTTACATTGTTGTTGATCTTTTATTATTATCACACACAAATGGATGGCCAATGAATGTGATGATTTCTTATCTTACCTAATGATGATGGTGATCATGTTGTTGTTGTATGTATAACACAAAAGTGACATTAGTTTTTTTGGAACTACACATAACCATTGTTTGCGGCTATAGATTGATGGATAGATAGATTCGTTCATTCAAAATTGAGGGTTTCATTTTCATTTGGGGAAAAAAAACAATCTTTTTTCCATTTGCTTCCAAATGAATTTTGTTTCCATTTTGTTGTGTACTAATCATCATGTGAAATAATTTTTTTTTGTTTTTCTTAAATTTCTTTTTTTGTTTCAATTCATTTGTAACTACTAGAAGATTATCAACTACTGAAACAATCGAATCAAAGATCCGGTAATGGTGAAAAATTTTCTCATTTGAATCATAATCTTTTTCATCAACAACAAAAACAAAAACAACCACTGTTGAACGATAAACATATTGAACAATTTAATCAATTTGATGATGATGATCAAACATTTTCGACACATTTATCCATTATTCTTAATGATAATAATCATGATCAAGTGAATCAAATTGATTTTCCACCACAATCATCATCGTCTTTATCACTGCCATCATCAAATTTGACCGGGAAAAACTTGTCAAAAAAATCGATATTTTGTTGTCATTTGCCATCGTCGTCATCAACTTTGACAACAACCACATCACCATCATCATCATCATCATCATCATTCAAAATAGTAAATGATAATAAGGTCAACGACGTTAATAAATATCACTGCTGTCATATTGGAAAAAAATGTGCCAACATTAAATGTTGCTGTCATAATGTCAACAACGACAACAGCAGCAGCAACAACAACAACAACAATAATAATAACGATTTTGATGATGATAATCATATCAATCATAATGTAAATGATCATCATCAGCAGCAGCAAAAAGTACAACAACAAAAACGATCGAATATTTTAATACAAAATGATGATAATATTTTTGATCATCATCATATATTGAACATTCATAGTGATGATGATGATCATCATCATAGAAATAGAAAAAAATTTGTAACTAGAACGAATAATAATCATAATCGAAAAAGTGATTCAAATCATCATGATATTGCACACAACCACAACGATGATGATCAATGTAATAAAAACATTCATGATGATGATGATGATGATGAGCATAATGTAAATGTTATAGAATCGAATAGAATTGATCATCATCATCATAGTGTAGGCTGTATTTATCATCAAAATCACAATCATCATAAAAATCAACATTCAAAATCATTAAATTGTGTCATTCATTCTGGTGATGACCAACATCATTTCAATGATCATCATTGTTTTATCAAGAAATTAGTTCATAAAAACTATATAAAGAAACGGCCAATCAATAATAATTCTACTACTACTACTACTAATAATAATACGACCACCATCATTAATGACAATCATAATAGTAGTGATGATGATATTGTGGATTGTTTACTAAAACCATCATTATTTGAAAATTGTACAATTTTTGATTTTGATCAAAATTTTACTACCATCATCAATGAATCGGATAATAAACAATATCATGATGACGATGATGATAAGAATGTGAATAATGATAATCGTTTGTTGTCGTCGTCGTTGTTTTAGCACAAAATAATGATAATAATGATAATCCTGACCCTAATAAACAATCATTGTTACCATTTTTGCGCAAACATCAAAAATCATTATCATCATCATCAACATCATCGTCTGATTCTTCAAACAAATTGAATAGTAGTATAAGTGATTTTTATCCAAATCTTAATGATAAAGAAAAATTTGAACTACCACTAAAAAATCGAACGGATAAAAATAGTGAAACAAAAGAAAAGATCAAAATTTTAAAAAATACAGACACTTGTTGTTGTTGCCCCCAGAAATTTATCAACCATCCATCTTCATCATTGGATCCTAATAATCCATTGGATTCAATATTTAATAACAGTGGTAAGTAATATGTATGATAATTAAAAGGGAATTCAATTTTTAATATTTTTATTATAGATAATAAACGTCAATCAATTCAACAACAACAACAACAACAACAAGACAACGAAAAACAACAACAAAACCTGTCTAATAATTTTCAATTAGAACGACAACAATATATTGATGATAGGGAGATTGAAACAAAAACAAATCCAATACATCGATCATCAAATGAGCTAAATGAATTCACTACATCCGTAGTATTGCAACAAAACGATCATCGATTTACAAACAACAACAACAACAACAATAATGATGATGATGATGATGATGATAATTGCCAAGCAACAACATATATTGATAAGATTCGTTTGAATAACAATATTAATAATTCTAATGTTACGATAAATAAATTCCATAAATCAAGTGTTAGTAATAATATCAATAAAATTGGTGATCATGATGGTAGATATGGAATAAAAATTTCTAATTTAACCAATACACAGGTTAAGACTAATCTATAAATCAACATCAACATCATCATCCTGGTTGTCAATTGAAACGACGACCACGACGACAACAACAACAAAGTTTAGTGAATTGCTGCCGACATCGAAAACAACGATATCAAGATAGACATTTGTTATGGTTGCAACAATCAACATCATCGTCATCATCATCATCATCATCGTCGACATCCTGTGTATTGTATAACAATAGTGCTAATAATTTTGTGGGCGGTGGCCGTTGTTGTTTGAAATCATCTGATATTTCAAAATTTCAAACACCATCATCATTGAATTTAAATTATCATTCAACCAAACGGCAATTTCGACAACAACAACAGCAACAAAAGCAAGGAACAAATAAAACGAATGATTGTTTGATCTTTAAAATTGATGAAAATCAACAGCGATTTCTGGAACAACAAAAACATTTGTTGAAAATAGATCGACAATTTTGTTCTGATTCATCGAAAAAATTGAACGAATATAGAAAAATTTTTGATACGACATTTAAAACCGGTTCGAATCAAACGATAAATGAAAATTTAGTGCACAGCAAAATGCATCAGAAAAAAGGTTCGATATATTTTTTTTTTTTTTCCCATTTATATATTTCTCAATTGATCATCTTCGTTAACATTTTTTTTGTTTTGATCTATCAATCTAATTAAAATTATTAATTTCATTTAATCAATTTATGATATGGATAGATTGATCATTGTGTCATCATCATCATATAATTTATTTCATTTTCAAATGATAAATCATGTGTGTTTTTTTGTTCCGTCAAAGACGGCAGCAATGTATGCAATTTATCGTGATGATGATGATGATGATCAAAGTTAAAAAAATTAAAACAGATTTTGAAAAATTTACGATAGTTATAATGATGATGACTAGACTAGATCATCGATGTTTGAATTGAAAAAGTCAATTTGTTTATTCGATCACTAACTATCTGATGATGATCACGAAAAAAGACTAGACTTTTATCGGTTAACGATTTGATCAACAACAACAACAAAAATAAACATCATCAAATTGATTTTTGACCATTCCTATCTTTGTTGTTATTGTTTCAAATTTTTTTTTTTAAACTCTCTTCATTATTGTTTATATCTATTTCATTGGGTGTGGTTTTTTTTCTCACTATAGGTATCCTAATAATATCGGCAAATAAAAAACAATCCGGAATAAAGATGGATAACGATATGAATCGTAATAATAATAATAATAATAATGTAAAGAAATTAGTGCCGAAAAAACGTGTGGCATTTGTGGAATTGGATCCGGAAATTATTGGATTTCGTTGTCCCACCGATGATGAAGATGATGATCAAGATTTATTGGATTTTGTTCATCATCAAAATCGTTATGGAAAATCATCTATATTGAATGAAAACAACGATAATCATAATGAAATCATTGATGATGATAATGATGATGATTCTTCTGAAAGTGATGATCTCGAATTGAAAAAAATAACCGCTGCCAATACATTATTCAATTCAAATTATGGAAATTTCAAATGCTTTAGTGATGGTGTTCTTGGCAGAAATAAAACATCAACAAATGATGGTCCTGTCAAATTTAAGATATCCGATAGCTATCAACAGCCATTGCCTGAAACCGTTATTATCAACAAACAGACCAATTCAATACGACAAATGTTTGAAAAAAATCAAAAAAATACTACGAATGATGGTGATTTGATGACAAATGGATCGAAACCACCACCATCATCGATGGCGAATATCAATCAACAAAATGGCAACAACAACAACAACAACAAGGAAAATGAAAAACGACTTGCAGTCAATTTTGTTGATGTTTCTGAAAACATCAATCATCAAAATATTTCGGCAACTAGTACTGGTTCAACAACCATCACTACTACCACCATCAATAATAAAGATAATGGTAACCAAAATGTTCCGAAAATTCCCAAAGTCAAATTACAGCTTTCAAACATTGGTAACAATGTTCAATTGTCAACAATAACCAATGGAACATTGTTAGAAAAAAAGATTAAAGAAATTGATATCGATCGAATTCGAATACCTCGTGCATCGATACAAACAACAACAAAAACAGTGCCAACAACAATAGTCACTGTAAAACAACAAAATAATGAGGATGATATTTCAGATAATTTGAAAAGTGATATAAAATGTGAAAACCATCAACATGATAATAATAATGATGATGATGATCATAAATCAGAAATTGCTGTCAATGGTAGTGATTCATCATCAGTGATATTAGTTGATAATCGTGAAGGATCGATATTAACATTGGATAGTAAAAACTTGTCACAAATTGATCATCATACAACTACAAATGGTAGTGAATTATTTTATTTACCACCCGTATCTTGTACTGGTAAAAAATCTGATAATAATAAATCGTCCGATAATAATCATAATCATCATCATCATAATCTGGATACATTATCTCAATCATCGTCATCATCCGGTTGTTGTTCTGTTACAAATTCATCATCATCATCTACAATGGCTTCATCTTCATCTTCATCCTCATCACATTCAACATCACCTACAAATATTGAAACGTGTTCATCATCATCATCGTCATCATCACCGGATTCATTGGAATCTGCACCCGATTCATATGATTCATCAACAAAATTTTTATCCGATGGAAATGATGATGAAATATTGGAAACGGTCAAAGAAGAGGAAGATTTCAATAATAATAATAATAATGGAAAAGCATTTCAAATCAAAAATAACAGCAGCAAACATCACGATAATGGTTCATCTGAACAACAGCAAGGTAACTTTGTGTTTTGTTAATCACAACTTTTGTCGTTTTGATTATGAAAATCGTGTATTTCATTTTTTTTTTTCTTTTATCATTTTCACATTTTTTTGATACCTAATCCGAACAGCAGCACAAAAAGTTGAAAATCAACCCATTACCATGGCTTTCATCACTAATCATTCATCTTCCAACAGGCCGGAAATTTTTGATCATCTTCATAATCAAGGTAATAATAATAATCTTCATTTTATACAACATCAACAACAACAATTTGAAGATGAAAATGAAAATATCGATGGTCCGGATGAAAATTATGTTGTTTTCCAGCCAAATCGTTTATCGACATGCATTAAAACAAAAGAATCCATTTGCAATGTTGAAACAATACAACAACAATCAAAAGAATTGAAATCACGACATACAAGTACCATAGTGATCAATTCGAATGGTTCAAGTGAAATAACTACCACATCATCTATTCTGACAAATGGTTCATTAAAACATTCTGATTCACTTTCATCTGAAGATAAACGTAGTCAAATGTTGGCCAAAATGGCACTTGATTTAAAACTACATCGTAATGATCATGATAATCATCGTGATTCATCATCAACACCAACAGACAATTTATCAAGATCCGATTCAAATCAATCTAGTGTTATATCATCAAAAACAAATGAATCATTTCGTGAACGTTTGATTAGAGAAGCATATGAAACTAATAGTATTGACGATGCTAATGATAGTGTTGATAATCATCGTGGCGAAATTGTATTTGGAAAATCTATTAACAATAATAATAAAATCAAAAAGGGTTCAATTTCCAGTGATGATAGTAGCGATGATGATTGTAATGTTGACGATGATAATAGTGATGATGACGATGAAAATGTTAATCATTCGGATTCCAGTGATATAAGTGATCATGATGATACTGATGATAATAGTGTTAATAATAATGATTCAGATTCGAATGAAAAATTTACGAATTCATCAAATCCAACTGCCAAAAAATCTATTTCAAAATTATTCAAAAATGTCGTCACATTCAATGCAAACAATAAGAAAAAATATAAAAAAATTGTGCAAAAAAATCTACGAAAAACATCTAAATTTATTAGCGAAACAACACAACAAATACGAATGGATACCACTGATATGGTTAGACGATTGAAAAATGATAAAAAATCTACAACATCCGAAAAGGATGGATTCTATTCAACGTTAGAGCAAAAAGTTCGCCATGGAAAATGGAACCTGATGGGATCATCATCGCCATCAAAACATCAAACTGGCTTCAATGGATCATCAACCGAAACATTAGACGAAGAGCCAACATTAGTTAAAATTAAACGTCTAGAATCTACTAAATATATAAAACCACCGACTTTATTGCAATCCAAAAATGTGAACGATCCACCGGTTTTGCCACCCAGAACTATAAAATCGAAAGTTAATCTTACGTTGAATAATATTAAAGAAGAAAATGGTGAAACTCCGCCACCATCGCCTCCTAATAATTTCAATGATATTAATGATTTACAACCGCCCAAACCACCTGTTCGACGAACAAAAGCAATTAATAGAACTGTAGGTATTTCAGCCGAAAAAATGATAGAATATCTGGAACAAAAAATGAATGTCATCATTGAAGACGTCGATAATTTGGATGATTGTGTAGATATTATTGAAGATTTTCGAGTCTCATTAAAAGATTGCCGATTTTATCGTATAAATCTGAATTCATTAAATATTGAAGCCCACCTGCTGGTAAGTTTTTTTTCATTTTCTATTGTATGCATTTTTTATAGTAATTTTTTTTTCTATTTTAAATTTTAAATATTTGCATTTTTAGACCTCAAAAACTTTTTGGGTTACCTGTTATGATAGTAATTTACGTCAACATCATTATGATAGCCAACCATGCCTGGTTTTGGAGAAAAAATGGTCCGATTTCCTAACCATAACCACATTTTGTGACCGTCTTAATCGTTCTTTCACTAAGGATAATCGTCAAATGTTAGTCGATTCTATCGTATTACAATTGTATTGTATTTTAGCTCGATTTGAAATGGGTACCACTCGTCATGATCATCATCAACAACAAACAACCGACAATCAATCGAAACATAGAAATCATCCACCATTAACAGTTGGTGATATGAATGATGCATTAGTTGGAATCAGTGTTAATGATAACCAAGAAATTGTCGATGTATTATTATTACTGCCATCAAAAACAATTGAAGTTGATGATAATGATGAAAAAGGCTCACTTGAATTAGATTCCTTATCAATGATGCAGGCATTCTGTTTACAAGTATTTTTAATGCGTCTTACACGGCTCATTTCTTCGAATCAATCGGAAGAGAACAGAAAACAATCCAATCGATCAAGTCATTATAATAATGTTTCAAAACGTTTACAAACTTTTACCACTTTAAGTGAACTAAAAATTTTATCAGCCATTGATATATTTCATATTGTTGATTATAATGAAAAGGATCCATCAATGATTGGCCAACAAATTCGATCATGGATTAATGATCATCGTCAACCACAAGAATTGAAGCGACGATATATTTCAGTCAACAATAATGAAAATTCAAATATATCGATTCTTGACTATCTGGAATTGGATTTTGTCGTCAACACCAAAACACAGAATGTATCTGATCTAGTGTACAAAGATCATTTGGAACAATGATTTTATAGTATAGCCAAAATATATTTTATTCAATGTATAAATAACTTTTATCAAAGGCAGAATGATGTTGTTTTTATAATTGATTCTCAATTTTCTATCTTAAATAATAAAAAAAAACTTAAATTTTTAATGTCCCAATTGAAGTTTGTTCGTAAATCGAAAATTCGTAAGTAGGTTTACTCATCATCATCATCATTTGTAATCTTTATTATAGAATATTGTCGTTGTCGGTGGCGGAAGATTATAATAGATTGTCTTATCAGCCTGTTGATTATTACCAGTTGCTGATGTGGCAACTGCAATGGCAGTAGGTGTATTATTATCTTTTAAATCTGTTTGTCGACAACACCATATACAAAGACCGGATTGATGTTTAGATGAGAATGTTGCCCAACTTAATATTGATACACCGATGGATCGGAACGATATGCCCATATAAAGACTAATTAGACCACCAATATAAATCTGAAATTGTAAATTGATTCATCAAAAAATTTTGAGAAAAAATAATAGAACAAAAAAAAAATTCAATTCTTACCAGAAATTCAATTTTTTCAAATTTCGGCACATGTTCATTAATGATTTGGAAATTTTTCGGTGGTAATATACCAATGGTAAATGAATGACTTTGTGATTTATCATCTTCATCTCTTTCACGTACACGAGCCGTACGTACATCATATTGTACACTTTCACAATCATCCATTTGTCCACATTGATAGCTACATGCTGCTAATTCTGATGCATCTAAACCTTCTTCAAGATGTCCAGATGAACTCCAAGAATTGGTCCATGTTTTTGAAAATCGATACGATACATTATTATCGGCATAAACATCACCGGGCCAACCATCTGCACGTTGTACATAGGTTTTTGTTTTACATTCCGTCATACAATCACTACGACATGCATAACCATCTTTACGATAATCATAACAATTAGTAGCATATGGTGGTGGCAATAATTTGGTTATTTGTCTTTCAAATGATACGCTAACAAATTGATGTTTATCCGGATCTAATTGTTGAATATTGCTAGTTGCAGCAAATTGATGTGACACTAGATATATGGAACAAAACAACAACATATGAAGAAAAAAAAATATTTCATTAGTAATTCATTGACTTACTTTCAGGTGAATGAATATAGATCAAACCGTTGAACATAAAATCACGATTCAATTCGATCCATGCTAAATATTTAAGATTAGCTGCAGCATCTTTTGGTATCTGATAATTGATATCTTGATAAGCGGTACGATTCAAAAATAATGTAAAACATTTAAATTCATATGAAATTGTTTCATGAATTGGATTCAATGTACTACAATTGATACGATTATAGCTTTGGAGGTCCCAATTTGGATGCATCAATGTTGATGAATAATAATTATTATTAGACACTCGATTTAGATATTGTCCAAGTGGTGTGGCTAGATGACATTTTTTAAAAAATTTTTCCGTTGATACTGTCAGATTATGTTGTATGTCGATGGTTTGTGAATGCAATGATTTCAATAATTTATCACGATATTTTCTTTTTTTCAACATCATTGCTATCTGTGTTCGTGTTTTGCCTGAATGAATAATGAAAATTAAAAAGAAAAAAAATCAATTAATAGTGTATTATCGTGAATTTTTATTTTTTTTTTTTTTGTTTTGTTTTGTTTTATTTTTGCTATTTTAACCACCACTACTTACCGACAAAATCATCATATATACTTGGTTCGATTTTGATTAATTTTTCCACCAAAATTGTACTAGATAGTTCACTACAAACAGTAATACCTGGTAAATGTACAAATGGTGATGGATCCACACGAATATCCACCGTTGTTGGATAACGAAGATATAGATTACAAACAATATATATTTGATATGCACATATCACAATAGCAATAATGGTTATGATGATACGAATTATATTACGAACATTACGTTGAACACTTTGGACTTTATTCATTTGTACGGAAATAAATTTTTTTTTTCTTCACTATATATGGTTGTCGTAATAAACAACAAACAACAAAAAAAAACTATAGAAACAAAGACATTATTCTTGAAAATTTAATAATAAAACAAATTATTATTAGTAATCCAATTAATAATTTTGCTGGTTACTTGTTGGATGATTAATTAACTCAATCAATCGATTCGAATGATCGTTATGATGGTTTTGCATAATTGAATTCTATGAAAGATTGCAAAGTTTTTTTTTCTTTATTTTTCATAGAAACACGCACACACACACACACAAAAAACACTTGAAATCATCCACCCAAAAGAACTTTTTCTCGATTTATTACGTTGCGTTGATAGTCACGACGTTGTCAACCTGTTGATTTTTTTTTTTTGAGATTTAACCAAAAAAAAAAAAAAAATGAATGATAATAATAACCGACAACAAGTTAAGTACCACAATCAAATTTATTGATAAATATGTGAGCAATTGCATTTGTATATGACAAATGAGTGAGAGAGAGAGATATCAGATTTTCATAATGAAAAATATAATACAATATTGTAAAAAAAAAAAAAAATTGATGAACATCACTGTTGATTACATGGATACAGATACCGTAGTGATTATGGCAATGATGATACATTGATTGTTTGCTTTAACAATAGAATGCAATCCAATATAATTTTCATATACATATACTAGCAAAATCAAATCAAATTGAAAGTAGATAGAAGACTACACCGGTAGAAAAAAAACAAGCTTTGGATATTTTCAAAAAAAATCCTAATTACTATATTTAACTCTAAACCACAAATGATACTTTACATATATATGTAAACAAACACAGACGTATAGATCAAATGAAATGAAAAATCCATTCAACCACCAAATGACAAATTTTGATGTTATTTCTCTCTTATAACTATTGCCGACCGACATCCGTTTGATCAGCTTTTTTTTGAACAAGAAAAAAAATGAAAAATTTTTTTTTGTCATTAGTTAGTATGCCACCACCAGCAACGCCAACGCCAACAACAGCAACAATATTGTCGTTGATCCATGAATTTGGATATCATTCATGAATCGGTGAACAAACACATTAACACAGATATATTATCATAAACATGAAATGACGATAAAGAAAAAATATGAAGATAGATAGATATTTGATTGACTGATTATAATCAACCATATCGTGTACAGTGATAATTATCAGTATTTCAAACAAAAAAAGATCAAAATTCATTGCCATGGTCGTCGATGACAAATATTCATTTGATATGTGACAAAATAATAATAATTTGAGCATTTTTTTTTGTTTGTTTGAAAAATATTCATCAATGTAATAATAATAATAATAATTTGGAAAAATTTTACAAAATATAACAATTTGATCGATCGATGTCAATGGCGACATATAGCATCACATTCTAAAATATGCACAACAGGTGTCATCGTTGAACAATATCATTCCTATTCATTTTTTAATTCGAATTGTTGAACAAAAATATGTCGACATCACCTGCGGTGCACGACCAATATTTGGATGTGGTCCAAAACCATATGATTCATCAGCAACCGTAATCAAATTGATCATGTTTTCAAGGAAATTTTCATCATCTTCATTGAACACTTGTTGCATGTTTTCCAATCGTTTTCGTATCAATTGTTGCCAACGTTGTCTGATGACGAATAATTTTTCTAAATTATTGCCGCTGCCATCATCATCATCATCATTATGAAATTCGAATTGGCCATTCATAAATTCGATACAATTTCTATCACGATTATAATCGATAGAATTATCATCTACAAATATGATAAATGTAAGTGGATTGATTATTGTACAATTCTGTATATATGATATCTGACCACATTGAATTTTTCGATCAAATAGGATTAATGCGTCATTCATGGATTCAATGTTGTTTGATGATGATAAATTCAGAATCGAATTCGGCTCCATATATAGTATTTCATTTGGATTTGAACTATGACATTGGCGGCTATATGAATCAATAATTTGGGCAAAATGATCAAATAATTGTCCACCGGTTACGGCTGCTAGTATCAATGAAAAATTTTCTGAATTTGAATTCAAATAACGTATGTTCATCAAGCCTTTTCCTTTGACAAGACCGATTGCACGAAGCTGGCCCAATATTTTTGTTCGTAATGAATAAATCATTTCGAATGTAGCAAAACTTTCTTTGAATTCATTTTGATTCATTATTTTGGCCGTTTTGGAGAATGTTTGATTCATTGAACAGTATGATTTAGCATTTAAACGACAAATCTCTTGCCATTTTTGAAATGCATAAACAAGGTTTAAATGATCAGAATTTTTCGATAATCGTGTTTGTAAATTGTTCGTGCCCGGATGGATTGAATGAAATTCATCCTGTTGTTGATTATTTTCATCCAAAAATTGTAATTGTTGATAGACTATGATGATGAGTATAAGATGTGATTAAAATTACAATTTCAAAGGAAAGCAACAAAATAATAAATATATCTTACGTGATTTAGGTGAAGACAATGCACATACAATGGTCAATATTGGATCTAAACATCGGAGCAATATTGAAACAATAATCATTTTTGCATAATGTGGTTCAATCGAAATATCAATCAACATTCGACCCAATGTTGTCATGTTTTCATTCGTATCCAATACATTAATATTTTGCATAAAATTCAATGCACGATAAATGATTTCTTTGTTTGGTGGTAATATCATTCGATCAAAAATATCCATTAAACAGCCAATGTTTTTGAATTTAAAAAATTTAGCCGCAAATATACAATGATATAATGAATCATTTGAATGAATACTGATTGGATTTTCCATTGAATCAATTTCATAATCAAAAAATTCATCTCGTCGATAAAGATTCCATATAATAACCGGGAATGTTTGATTATTAGCCAGAATGAATTTTGTTTCAATATTTTCCGTTGGATTAGGTACCATTCTAAATAAAGTGGAATCACTAAATGAATTTGGCATTTTCATCAGACGATTTCCAGTGTTGATAATAAAATAAACATCTTTGAATAGAATTGAATCAACATTGAATGTTGATAATATGACTCGTATATGATTAGATGATGATGATGATATTTCAATACCGGCATCCAATTCATTATTCGGTACATTTGGATATAAACAGAATATGGTGAATTCAATTTGTATTTCAATCATTGATGATATTATCAATTTACGTAATGTACTAACATGATTATATGATGGTAACATAATCAATATTGAACCAATTGAAGATCGTTGATTCATTGTAGTCCAATGATTATGATATAATTGTTTGATCATATTGTATAAAAGTTGTAGAATTAGATTATAATTCACTTTCGAATGATATGACTGATTATTGATCGGATTGGTCATTGACAATGGACGATGTGGAAAATTCAAATAACGTCGAATATGTAAATCGAATGATACATTCATCGTGTAAAGATGTACAAATAATAATTGAAATGTTTGTTGTTGCCGGAAATTTATGGCCCATTGAATTGGTTCCAAACCATTTCTGGATGCAAGACAAGGATTGGCACCCATTTTCAATAATTGATAAACATTCGTATGATTTCCTCGTACAATGGCTGTAATCAATGGTGTTATACCTTCTATTCGTTTACATTGATAATTGATTTGCCATGGAAACATTTGAAAAAATTCAATCATCTTATTAATTTCAACATTTTCTGTCCAACATTCAAAAATGATTAATTCCGAATGATTTTCATGTATCGATGTTGTTGTAACCTGTTGGATTTGATTTAGATTTTCTAATGATGAAGTAGACGTAATGGACATTGGTTGTAAATCATCCAGAAAAAAATATTGTAATTTTGCCATATTGTAATTGGTTAAATTTCTATCAGCCATATTATTATAGAATACATTTGGACCAAAATAATCAATCATTTTTTGTGAACGTTTAGAATCTTGTGTTAAAAAAATCATATTTAAATGATCCAAATTTTCCATATTCTCTTTCAAATACAATAGAAATAGATTGAAAAACAAACTGGTCAGATCATTGACATCGATGATCAAATGGGTCAATAGACTCATATCTAAATCTCTTGTTAATGCTCGAATAAATGTGTCGATTTCGAAAAAAATGATACTATTGTTCAATGATGTTCTTTCAAATAAAAAAAATGAAGAAAAAATAATAAATGGAATTAGTTTTTAGTGATTTTCATTCTTATTCATTGTAAAAAAATACATACTTGCTTTCCAACATAATCTGGTAACCAATTGAATTCCATTTATCATTAGCCATTTGTTTGATTGCCAGTGCCATCCAAAATGTCATTATTGTCGATGATTGTAAATAAACAATACGACATGGTTGTTGTTTTTGTGAACAATCATTATTGATCTGGATCAATAAATCGAGACAATCATTTTTACTCAATCCATTTAAGATTTGTATTTTTGACGTTCCAAACCATAATGGTAATGATGATGATGATGATGATGATGATGGTGGTGTAAGCCATCGATTTTCGATTTCATTGTTAACAATGTTGATCGATGATCCATCATTACATTGTTTGTGTATGAATTTCGGTACAATTGGTTTTGTATCAAAATATGTAAATAGATTGAAATTATTATTGCCGAATCGTTGTTGGTGGTGTTGGTGTTGTTGTTGTTGTTGTTGTTGGTCAGCAGAGCGAGAAGTTTGTTTTTTCAATTTGTTGATCGAAAATTTTAACAATAGATCTTTGATTGATTGCATCGATTGAAAATTTAAACGAATAGAACGTCGACTGTTGTTAACATTCGAATAAGTACCGCCGTTTAATCCATTTTTTTTCGTTGATCGTATGAATGAAATATTTCCAGCGTATGGATAAAACCAGTCGGACATAATACTGAATTGATTGTTGTCCGAATTACCCAACAACGATTCACATAGACATTTCAATTGATTACTTGATAAACAATCGGGCATTTGGATTGCTAAACGTGAAGGTAATTATTAATAATTTTATCCAATACATGATAATCATAATAATTTACCTTTTATTTTATCATCGGAAAATTTCTCGGCCAGAATATTCAATAATCGAGCCGATAGAAATGAATCGATATTTTTCACGAACTTATCCAAAGTCACAAGATCCATATCACAGACACGTATCACACTAAATGACGACAAAAAAATAATAATTGCCATACATGACTGTTCAACATTTGTATGGAAAAAATTCGATAACATTTCGAATTCTTCTGAATCTGTTAATCTATCGAACTATGATGATAAATTAATAGATGGTAGAGACATGCGCGAATTTTTTAAATTACTCTTTAAAAAGTCCTTCAATTCTATGATGAATGAAAAGGTTAAATCAAAAAGCAAATATATTTTCATTTATTTATGGCTCATAAACAATTCGGCCATCTTCCATACAATGAAGATAGCCACGTTGCTGTAATGAATTGATAATGTTACGGAATTCATCCGTATCCGATATGATTGGCTCATAAGGTGTATATGGCAATTTTTGTCGAATATTTTGTTGCAATGTTTCGAGGTTAGCAACGCAAACCAACCATTTCAATGTTCGTACAATGGCTGCTTCGATGACCAAATATTTGTCCATGATTCGATTGCCTCCATCGAATTGTTTTGTTGAATTCGATGCATTAGAAACAGTCTCATAGATGGCTACAATTTTCTGTATATCATAACCAAGTGATAATTGTTCTAATTTGATCCAATCTATAAAATTGGTATTTTGTTCGGAAAATTTTGTCGTTATGGATGATGTCATGATTTCGATGCCTTTGAATTGATCATTGAATATGAAAATTTGTCGAGACAAATCTTTACTTTCATCTTGATCGTTCGTATTAGCAACTAGTAATAGCTTATATTTGATGAATACATTCAATGTGGTTTTCAATTGATCTGATTCAAGTTCAGTTGTTTTTTCCAATTGTTCATAATTGCATATATCAAATTCATTGAAAACTAATAATATTGACAATTGTTTGAGTGTAACTATAAAATGAAATTGACGATTTTCCAAATTACTATAATGAACCAATGCAGAACAATAAATTGGATTGAGCATGAGCAATTTTTTTGAATTATTTTGCTGAAATTGATTTTTAAATGTTTCATAGATCGTTATGAATTCTATAGGAATCTTAAACATTTGTTCCGATGGAAATCGATCCAGATGCCAAAGTGATGCATTCAATAAAAACACTTCCATTTTATCCGCTATGGACTGATGAGATCTGAGATAATCTTTCAATAAAATTCGAACATTACAACTTGAAGGACTATATGGATTGATGATAATATCAAATAAATTAGCTATTCGATTGATGTCCTGTACCACCGAATCAATGCTCAGGCCAAATAAAATACGTTGACATAGAAAACGACGATTATAGTGAATAATGGCCGATTTATCTTCAATAAACATCAATAGATCAAACGCAGATTTAATTAATGTTTGTCGATCTACATTTATAGGAAAATTTGGATCGTCCAGATTGATGATTGAAACAAAATGTATCAACAAAGATATGATGCATGTGAATGCGTTGTTTGAATTCAGATAAAATAGATAGGCAGTATTCAATGATCTAAAAATAGTTGAATCGTTCTGGAAAACTTTTTCAACAATTTCGTGGCAATATCGAAATAATTCATGACAATCATGGACAAATTCAAACGTCGATTTCCAATTATATTGATTCGATTTCCAATCAATCAATTTGATGAATGTTGTTGATTTCAGTCGAACATATTCGCCAAAATTTTTCGCCAACTTTTGCAATATGTTTTCATTAAATCTGATCATATTGAAAAGATTTTGAAGATCGGACCAACGTTTTGATTCAATCCATTCATAAAATTGGTCAAAATCACAAATGACATCCTGATATTGACCAATCAATTCAGAATACAATAATTTTGCTTCCATCCTAATCAAATCTATACTGAATGAATAATGTCTGGCCAAAGCAAGTTCTTCATTAATGACAGATTTAACAAAACGTAAATAACCAATCAAATCGAATCGATCATCAACTTTAATATTCTCATTAATTAACTTTTTGGATTCATTTCTATAAACAGTTTTCAATCGTTTTAAATAAGGAAATCCAAAACAACGGCAATAGATGATTGGATTTTTTGATTGACCATCTATATATATCATTAGTTGAAAAATTTGCTTTACACGATCATTTTGATGATTAGAGTTTTGTTTTTGGTTTTGTATTGCTTGCCAAATTGATTCGAATAAAATTTCTTGATGATTGATTAGGAAATTATCGACAAACATTGATATCAATAGATTGATGGTCTGGTGTTTCACCAATTGATAGGCAAATCGTTGTATAGAAATAGTCATAGCATAGAATGAATTTATTGAATGCTGAAATCGGAACCAACATTGAAGTAAATAATCTAAAACATAATTGTCATCTTTATAATTGGGCAAACATGAAGCCCAATATTTAAGTACTGATTGACAAGAAATGATCCAGACAGCGATCACAGCAGCAATCGATAAACGTTTAAGAATTCGATTCACTAGTATATTTATTGATTGAAATTCATCATTTCTATATTTACGTGAGGAACGAAATAATTCAAGAATTTGATTTCGTAATTGAAGACATTCTTGATCATTTCGACAAACAATATCATAATGTTTTCGTAATTTTTCCACTAAATACAATGACATTTTCAATCCGATAATCATTTACAATTGGATAAAATTCATAATTTTCATAGTTTCAATCATTATTTACTGATTGTTTTGAAATAAATCTAATATATTTTTTCAAATAATTAAAATTACATTAATGTATTAGCAGTATAGTGGAGGAATTTCGGTCAGATTTTTATTATTATATTTATTAAAATGTGAAAATATACAATTCTTAATAAGTAAACACATATATACAAAATACAATATTTAAAAAAAAAAAACAAACACAAAAATCGGCTATTGATTGATAGAGCGAATTAAAACCACGAGCAGCAAGAAATAGAAAAAAAAAGTTGTTGATACAGCTGCTGTTGCTGCTCATGATCATCGATATTAACCATTAGAATCGGATGTTCATGATAATAAATGATGATGAACATTGTATAAATTGATCATCAAAAATTTATTCATAAATAATATTGTTTTTCATCATTGATTTATTTAATATCACGAAAATGAAATCTCGTAGTGAAACACATCATTCATCATCATCCTCAATGACAAAATCATCATCATTCAACATTCCATCGTTTTTCTTCAACCAACTCGGCCAAATAGTTTTGATCATGGCGTTTTGACTTCATCCTATTCACTCTATCGCGTCTACCATATTATAATCGGAAGTCAATTGTTTGCCAAAAGTGTTATATAAATGACACGCAATTCTACAATATAACCCCAATTTTTTCAGTGAATAATTTTTGTATTGGCGATGAAGTAGATCGTATTTCTGGCCAATGATGCCATGGATAGCTTCGACCATTCATCGAATTTTTGTCACAAATCTGGATTCATTCGATTGTTGGCAAGTCAATTGGCTTTAATCGCTGCCTTTGAATGCTGGTATTAAGACTTTGTACCCTTTCTTTTTCAATAATAGCACGACATCTCTGAATCCACGATTCAATACGAAAATATCACCAGGTATTAAAATAGTGGATAAGTCATTAGTTTCTTGGAGAAGAACTTCCAGTATTTGGGCATCTTTCATTTTGGCGTTAAATGGGCCTGAAACATCAAGAATGAAACCATCGTTGGTGCAAACAGTAAATGGTTTGCATAATGTTGTATTCTTATGCATGGAATACGATTTTCGCTGGTATATATTATTGGAACTCTTCATGGTACAAAAATTTTTCTCTTAATAAAAACTTGTTTCCGTGCCTCGAATGGTGGTATGGTTAATAAATTGGTAGTCGAAGAACAAATAAAACAGTATTTGTGGGTGTAATTACTGGTCTACAAAATGGCACATGAACTTTTGGATTTGGAAATTGTTCTTCAGCCGACTCGTTATAGATGGGTTCTTCAATTGCCAATGAAGATAGACAAGATAATTGTGAATCAATCCAAGAATCAGTAGCATCAGTTTCCATCGATGAGTCTGAGGACATTTCCATTAAATTAAAAATGTCCATTAATCGTGAAGCACATGGTTCATCAGTAGTTTGGCTTTGACCATAAATACTTGGTTTTTCGAATTTCTAATTGCAAAAAAGCATAATAACAAGTGTAGCCTGCAAGCATGGACAGTATACTGCATATATGAAGGTTTTTTGGGAATAATTTGTTACTTATTCGTGTGATCATTACAATTTCGAATTTTATTTTTATTGCATATTGGCATTTTAAAATTTTATAATATGGACAAACAACTGCTTATTTCCGCAGTGCTGAAACGAAGCTGCCTGTGGGACAATTTGAAATTTGAAAAATATTTTCTAATATTTTCATCCAACATATTGGATAGAGAATTAGACATATCAGAACAGAAACAAGCGAAAAAACATCTTTGTGCTGCAAAACGATCGCATTCCAAAATTAAGTGTAATGATGTTTGTGAAGGATTACCACAGAAACAAGACGATTGATCTTTGATTCGCATTCTGTTTAAATACTGGTTGAATTTTCCATGGTTTGTTAGAAATTGGGTAAGAATGAAATCAGGAGACAGATTGATTCCTGATCTGATGCTGACCAGTGGAAAAATTTTTTTAGTAGTGGATCCATTTGAGCATGTTGTCCAAATCTCATTCCAGGGACAATATAGTTGTTTTTTGAATTCATATTTAAAGAAGGATAAAGGCAAATGATCGTAATTCAAAATTGGCGATTCTAAAAGAAACAACAACAGCCAAATGATAAATAATGACAAATGTTTCAATAAAAATAAATGTCATTCATACCATAATTATACCACGATTTCACCACAAAAATCATAATCATAATAATCTACTTTAGTATTGGTATGGTTGTGATGAAATTTTTCCCTCGTTCCAGAAGAATTCCATCAATTTATTTCGAACGTGTTTCGATTGTACAGAAGAATTTCTTGCAATATCAAATGGCACACGAGAATGGAAAGAATATTTTTTTTTTTAATTGGTGTTCCATAATTAGATTTGTATTTGTTTCCGTTTGGTATTTAAATGACTTGCGTTTACGCTTTTTAACTTAATTTTTGAATCGTTCATTACCGCCAGACTTTGTTTTGAAATAAATCTACAACAAAATTTAATTTAATTCACTGAATTGTTTTAATAGTGAAACAATCATTCGAACAACCAAGTCCGGGAAATATTACATTTGATGGTAATTTTCGTTGATTTAAATATTCGATACGCTCAATACGTTTACGACGATTTTCAAATGGATTATGACGGATACAAAACAATGTAATGGCTATGGTTTGATAAAGCAAAGCATTAACAGCAGTCATCAGGATAGAATAATAAAAATAATCATCATGTAAATAACCAAATTTATACAAAACAATCTGTATTTCTCTATCATTACAACGTCCGAAACCAAATATTAGCAATACAATGGCTTCAACTTGATATCGGAAAAGATTGAATGTTGTCAACAATTTAAATGCCATGTGTGATAATGCATGTGGTGACACTGCACAAACAATCGATAGTATTGATAAAATCGGCAATGATATATATAAAATAAATGGATTTCGACCAAACAAAATGGACAATATATAACCAGCACCTTGAAATGCAATCAGTGGCAATATGATGATGATGATCATATAATAAGGAACATATGAACGAACTGGTGAGTAAATATCAACAATAAACGGATAAATGATGATTATAGGTATTATGAGCATCCAATCAGAGATTGCTTTGGCCACATAGAATGTACCTGAACTATACCATCCTGTAAAACGAAACGACAATGAAAAAAAAACAACAAACAAATCAACAAACACTTACCATTACGATGTTCAATTTGAAATAATTTTCTTTGTGATGTAAAAATCATTGCGAAAAATATAAAACAAATTATGCCGAAATTATCTAGACAATACATCATGTATTGAAAACTAATATAAAGTTCTAAACTTTCGTCAATGGAACGATTACAATTCAATAGATCTTCATCCAGACTAATGCAACCATTTCTATAGGCAATATCTGGATCAATTAAACTTTTTATTATCAAACCATTTAATATAGCAAATATAGTGAGAGCCAAAATCAAAAATCTTGCCATTAGACTGCCAATGTAGAAATATAATTGACGTTTGATTAATATTCTGATTGATTGTAATGAAAATCTTGTTCGATTCATCTGTGGCCCATCTAAAATGTATCGTGTATCCGTTAATAAATGATCGTCGGATTGATTTTCCAAGATTGATTCGTTTGTCGCTTGAACCAATGTTTTAATTTGTTGTTCCAAATGATTCAAACTAGAATATTTCATCATTTCTTCAACAGCAAATTTATCATCGCCATCACCATTTTCGTCGTTACAAACTTGCTGGAGATGGTCACTGATTTGTGATGGTGGTCCCGAGAAGATGCAAACACCACCTCTAGCCAGGATGTAAACCTGATCAAAAAGCATTAACATTTCAGTATTTGGTTGATGAATGGCTGCTACTATGGTGATGTTGTGTTTATGTGACATTTTTCGTAAACATGTAACGATCACTTCGGCTGAATTCGAATCTAAACCACTGGTTGGTTCATCGATACAAATGAAATTGGGCATTCGTAACGACATTAGTTCCAAAGCCAGAGCCAGCCGTTTTCGTTGACCACCTGAACATTTATTGACCAATGTGTTGGCGGTGTCGGCAATGTCCAGTTCTTCTAGCAAGGCCATAGCCTTTTGTTTATGATCGATATTTTCACCGAGATTTTTCAATCTGCTTGCATATATGAGACATTGAAGTGCCGTCAATCCTGGTGTCAGATGACAAGAAATCTCTTGAGTTATATAACAGGTCCTAAGTGGTGTGAACTTGCTTAGGTAGAATTTGGTTTCACTGCACAATCGAGTCTTGTCCCGTCCATTCAACACTTTGAGAAAAGAAGTCTTGCCAGCTCCAGACGTGCCCATCAAAGCATTCAATGTACCAAAACGAAATTGGCCATTCAGATTACGCAGTATATACTTGGGTTGTTCAAGATCATTGGCCGAACGTAATTCAAATATTGAGCCAGAATTAAATAAACTTAATGACCTCCAAGCAATGATAATACGATTTTTCGCAAATTTGTCAAATTCAATTTCCACTGCTGATTTTCTACGTTGATCATCATCATTAGCAATTTCGACATTGACATTGAATGATTCATGATGATTATTATTTAAATCATCATAATCAATCGGGATAAAATCTAAAGATGGTGACTGTTTTTTTCGCAACACGAACCAATGATGGTGATGATTACAGCGTAATCCTTGCAATTTAAACATCATCAATATTAACGTTAATAAACGTAGAATGATTGAATTGATTACGATTCGATATAAATCAACATAAACCGTATCAGGATCAATATCATGACCAATCAATACGGACGAAATTTCCTCCGTATCGCAACGATCGATACCGTAAAATGAATAAATTAGTCCATTTTTAATGATTCTTGATCCAATCAAATCGCTAATGATTTTACTTGTCATCATAACAATATGATTATACGGAAAAATATAACCATTATTAAAATCAATGGATGCATAAACAATAAGCGAAATGGCGACAGCAATGTCGGATAAACTGGCGAAAATCAAACTCCACAATTGTCCCATTGATTGTATGTAAACAATAAACATCCATAAAAATAGGAAAAAACTGGTGAATCGATGCGAATTGAATTGGCCATTATCAACATATCTATGATCAATTAGGAAATACATCAATGTTGTCACATATAATGCAATGATGGTAAAATCAATTAATCGAACAATCACGATGGACCAATACGAAACACCAACACTGTACCAGCCTATAGAGGAAATTATTCAATGTAATCGATTGTTGATCATTTGAAATTTAAAAAAAAATTACCATTTTGATGTTCATTCTTGAATATTTTCATTAGTGATGATAATGTTAAACTACTAATACCGCTAAGTAGATAGCCAAGCATCATAATGAATAAACATTGAAAATTTAAATAAAATTCAACACGATAATCATCTTTGATTTTCTCTAGACAAGTTTGATTTTGTTTTCCATACGATTTGCTGAAATCGGCAGCTAACACACAAGTATTTGGCGTGACCATATCCGAATCATAGATATTTGTTTCGATAAAAAACATCAATGTCATCATTATTAATGTAATGATACGGAAATCAATTTGTTTAATGAACGTTAATTGAAACATTCGTGTGATTTGAAGAAGAAAATCTCCAGCCGAGAAAAGTTTGTGGTCGGCAATGATTCCTTGTGGTAAGAATTTCATCTGCGGTATCACTTGTTTTAATTCGGTTTGTTGTTGTGACCAGGTAGCTTCTACTAATAGATGAACATTTTCATAGTCAGTTCCTTTGCAGGCGATGGCCAGATATTCTTCGATCGGCGGTTTGCTTTGATCATGCACTAGTCCAATATGTTCGTGAAGATTCTGCCGTAACAATGTTGGCAATCCAGAGTAGATGCAGACACCACCTTTTGCCAATATGTAGAGTTTGTCGAACAATTTGAGAATGTCCGAGTTGGGCGAATGTATCGATGCCAGAATAGTCATTTGATTCTGTGGATTGTCAGCCAACTTTCGTAGACAACGTACCATCAACAATGCGGCATGACTATCCAACCCAGTGGTCGGTTCATCGACGAACAAAAATGTCGGCGCCTTCAGTGACATCAATTCTTGGGCAAGAGCAATGCGTTTTTGTTCACCTCCACTGCAAAGATCGAACCTTCTGTCGAGAACTTTGTGATCGAGCAACAGTTGATCGAGTACATTGGTCATCTGTTTATCCATTTCGGATCGACCATGCTTGTAGCTATTGTTGAATCGAAAGGCATAGTAAAGCACCTGACGAACTGTCATCGAACCGATTATCGTTTCATGGACATGTTGTTGAATGTATCTTATTCTCGGTTTATCATTCTCTCGTCGGTTGATGTAGATCTCTGAATCGGCGCTGAGTCCAGATTGATATTTGCCATTCAAACAATTAAGAAGTGTCGTTTTACCAGCACCACTAGGTCCTAGAAATCCATTCAGACTATTATATTCAAGATGGCCATTCAGACGTTTAAGAATCACTTTTCGTCCACCAACACCAATGAATCGAGTATTCACTTCATAACGAAGATTTTTCCATGCAATCGAAACATTTTGATTTTGATTGTTTGGCAAAAAATTTATTTGTTTTAACACTAGTGATGATGACTCCATGATGGTGATGATCGACAAAATGAAAATGTGAAAAAAATGACAGGATTTTTTTTGAAAAAACTCCATTACGTCCAAAAAAACTTACCATTTAATCTAATTCATTATGACGCATGTTTTTTTTTTTTTTTTCATTCCAAACCCATTCACCGCCAGCCATTGATTAGTATTTATTACGATCAAAACAACACTTTTGATAATGATCATTCATTTCATTCCATAAAAAAATCAACTCACAATTTGCGTGAGCAATGAAATGAAGAAAAACAAACACGACTTGTTGTATAAAAATAATAGTGGTCATAAATTTTTTTTTCTTGCTAAAAGTTTCCTGTTCAGTTGTGTTTTCTTTAAATTCTGTATTCTTTTTGTTTCATTGAAAATTTAGCTGGAATGTGAGTGTTGTTGACAATTTTTTTTTTTTTTAAAATTGGAAAAAGTCAATTTTCCCGAGGAAATTTTCCCATGTTGAAGGGTTCGAATTTTGGGATTTTTTTTGCTTGTTTCATACTTTTTCATATAGCCACCACGTATAACCTTGTAGTAGTTCATTTATATTCAACGATAACGATTATTTTATTTACTTCTTATGAATGATGATGATTAAATCAAATGCGATACGAAACAACAAAAAAAAAAAATGATAAAAAAGTTAAATATAAACATCCAAAAATATTAATGACATTGAATTTGTACTATGAAAACAACATTTATCGATGGTCGATGATCGTGTGTTTGTGTGAAATTATAATCTTTAAATCTTGAAAAATTAATAATTGACAACGATGTTAAAGTCATTAGGGTTGTTTTTTTCTGCGAATCGTTTAATATATAATAATTATTTTTATTTTGTTTATAATTTGATTTTTCGATAATGAACCGAAAAAGTGAGAAAAAATTTTGCTGTTTTTTTTCCTTCTAGCTGTCAATAACGTAAAAAAACACGGTTGGTGTAATGAAATTTTTTTTTTCATTTATTTATCTTTGATTATCATCTTGATTCAGATTCTTTTACATGGGTTTTCTTCTCGAGTAAAAAAAAAAAATTAAAAGAAAAACATTTGACTATTATTTTGAATTTATTGTAGTTATCTTAAGATTGTAGGTTTTTAGGTTGCACTCAATTTTGCAGTGCTGTGATTTATTTTTTTAAAATATTACATTATTTATGAACTGAGTCACCGATTCCACGTGGTTAATTTTATTTCAGCTAAAACTCATTCTATTTGATTTTGTAGTTATTTTTTTTTTTTACAATTTTTTTTTGATCTATTTGTGCATTTTTTTTCATTATAAAAATAATTAATTATATATTATTTATTAAATTAAATTACGAATATGGCTTATGATTATCTAGAAGAGATTCCTTATGATCATGGTCATATGTTTCAAAAAACATGTGAAAATGGTTACGATTCGGATAAAATTGATTCGGACATTGAAGACATGCTTTATGCATCGATTCATCATCAAACAATTAATTCAGAAGAGTTGAGTTTCATTCCTACAAAACCGAACGAAACATCGAATGATGATGATGACGATGATCAACATGAATTATTAATACACAACGTTCGAAACATTTTCAACGAAAGAAAAGTTGTTAAGAAAAAGAAAATCAAAGAGCGGAAAAATCTTAAGCGTAAAAATCAAACCGATTTACAACAGAATACAATTGATGATGATGGTCAACAATCTATTGTGAAGCAAAATAAAATAACGCCAGGTCAATTTGACATTTCATATGGTCATAATATTTCATTAAATTCTGATAATTGTACTGATACAAAGAATGGATTCTATCTAGAAGCTAATTATGATAATGAAGATATTGATGAGGTTATGAAAAAATTACCAAAAGATCGCCGGTATTGGAAAGTGGGGACACAAGATCTACAATCATTTTTTTATCGACGTGGTCGTCATAGACCTAAACAATGTAATTTATGTTTTAACTTTGGACATTTAGATCGAGTTTGTCCTAATGTATGTATGAATTAATCATAAAATGAATATATTTGTTTATTTATTTATTCATTTATAAATTTTTTTGTTTTCTTTAGAGGATTAAAAGATGCTTTATTTGTGGTGATGATGACCATGAACAGAAATCATGTGATAAAAAATTAACCTGTTCAAATTGTTTTATGATTGGCCATACTAGTAAAAATTGTACGAGTAAAATACAATGTAAACTTTGTAATATTGTTGGTCATAGTCAAGAAAATTGTACATATCATTGGCGAAAATATTTGACTGTTGTCAACGAAACCGACGATCATAAAGATATCTCTATTTTTCAATCTAATGATGTAACCATTAATACAAAGGTGTCTTGCTATAATTGTGGTATGGATGGATCGCATTTTGGACATGTAAGTAATAAATAAACTTTGGCCAAAAAAATTTTTTTTTATTACAATCATTTTTTTTTTGCTAGGAATGCAAATCTTTGACTATCAATAGGAAACGTAATGAAATTCCATCGCCCATATTCCATCTGAAACCTAACAAAATGAATAGAAAACAGTGGTCAAGACAGCGAACAAATACAACAATTTTTCAAAAACAATCTGGCACAAAAATTAAACCATTTTTAGCAAATGTAACAAATGGAAATGTTGATAGCGATGATGATTCACTGGAATATGTTGAAAATTTGCTAAGGCAATCGAATCCTTCTGTGGATAGAATAGATCAATCGAATATTGTGAAAAAGAAACAAAAATCATTAAAAAATGTCAAAAACAATCAAATTAACGTGATGAAAATATCCAAGAAAAAATCCAAACAGCAGCAGCCTTTCAATAGACAAATTGTTAATAGCCAAACAAAGAAAAAAAAGAATAAGAAAACTTTGAAAAAGAACAATAAATTTAGTAATCAGATTATTCAATTGCAATCAATTGATGGAAATAAAATTAAAATTAAAAAAAAAATTAAAATTAAAATAAATAAAAATTAAAATAAAAAACAAAAATTTTCGGCTAATTTTTTTGTTTCAATAATAAGTTTCTTGTTCAATCCAGCCACCGGGATTTCGTCTCAATAGGAATCGTCGTATTTCATCGAATATGAAAATTAAAAATGAAAATGGAAGTGGTAATAACCACCAGGAAAATCTATTTGGAAAATAAAAACAAAAATAATCGATCAATCAATAATAATTAATAAAGTGAAATTTGTAAACAAAAAAAAAAAAAATTCAAACATACTTTAGTGGCTGTGTGCGAAGTATAATTGACATACCGGGACAATATGTAAGAAAAGCGGCCAATCCGGTTTCGAAAAATAATGCAAAATTCAAAACTTGATTGCTATTTTAAATGAATAAAATAAAATTTTTTTAAACAATGATTAAAATGACACAAAATAATTATTAATTACCCCATTTTTTGTTCAAAAATTGAATTTCTTCTTGTTTTACGTATGATTAAATCTGCCCATTGTACAACAACAATGCTAACGAAAAATGCTGTATAACAAGTGTGTTCCAATTTTTTACGTTGTGCATATGTCCATTCTTGACCATTGGCATCCAATAAATCATTAATATTTTCATTATCCCATTGAGTACGAAGACCAAAAACAATCCATCCCCAAAAACCGTGTTCAGCCATGATGACAAAATAAGTGAAAAATCCGGCCGAGGCTTCGATTATTCCGATTAATCCATATGAAGCAAAAATAAGACGAGAATTGACTAGTTTATCATGTAATGGATCACGTGGTTTTCGTTCCATAATATCAGATTCGGCTTTTTCATATGCATAAGAGATTGCGGGTACCATGTCTGTACCAAGATCGATAAATAAAATGGTAATAGTACCAAGTGGAAGTGGTATATCGAATAATATAAAACTAAGAAATGGTGTGATTTCAGGAATGTTTGATGTCAAAGTGTAGGCAATGGATTTTTTTAGATTATCGAAAATCAAACGACCTTCTTCCACTCCAGTAACAATTGATGCAAAATTGTCATCCAATAAAATCATATCGGCTGCTTGTTTTGAAACATCAGAACCAGCAATACCCATTGCTACACCGATATCGGCTTTTTTCAATGCTGGTGAATCGTTGACACCATCACCAGTTACGGCAACAATTGCACCTTGACGTTGACAGCCTTCCACAATGATTAATTTTTGTTGTGGCGAAGTACGAGCAAATACAATTTCCGTATGATGTCGAAGAATATCATCAAGTTGATCATTTGACATATCTTTCAATTCTGTGCCATGAATGACAGCAGCTTTTGCATCACGTGGATTAACACTTGTAATTGGAACCTGTAATCTGGATGCAATATCTTCGATAGTTTCATTATCTTTTGAAATGATACCGACTGCTTTTGCAATTGCTTTAGCCGTAATAGGATGATCACCGGTAACCATAATAACTTTGATACCGGCACTACGACATTTAGCTACAGCATCAGGTACAGCAGCACGTGGTGGATCGATCATTGAAATCAAACCCAAAAATCGTAGTTCATCCAATGGAAAATTCATATGATCAGCATTGAATTCGTATCCTTTTGGATATTGATCTTCCGGTAATTCATAATCACATAAACCAATCACACGTTCACCCAAACCACCCAATTTCATATAGGCTTCATTGAATTCTTTTCGCCATTGATTGTCTAAAAGTTTTTCTTCACCATCTATATAAATCGTTTTACAACGATCAAGAATACGTTCAGGAGCTCCTTTCATACACAATAGATAACTTCCTTTAGCATTATAATGTTCATGTATCGTTACATGATATTTATTCGTTGAATTGAATGGAATTTCACAAATTTTCGGATATTGAGCACGATAATTCATAACGTTTCCTGTGGCTATTTCCATACATTTAAGAATGGCTATTTCAGAAGCATCTCCAGTACATTCTCTGTTAACTCAAATTATTGTTTTGAGAAAATTTTTTTATATAATTCAGGTAAAAACTCACCGTTTTAGAATCGGAACGTCAGATTGATTGGCTTTAAATTCAGCTCGACTACACAATGTTGCTGTACGTTCTATGGCTTTCCATTCATTGGAACTTTTATCCATTTTTGTTCCACTTTGATCTTCAGTTGTATCAGCCTCGATGATTTCATTGTTGAACCACATATGTGAAACTGTCATACGATTCTGTGTTAATGTTCCAGTTTTATCCGAACAAATTGTTGAAGTTGATCCCAATGTTTCAACAGCTTCTAGATTTTTAACCAAACAATTTTTTTGGCCATACGTTTTGCTGTAAGTGTTAAACATACAGTTACTGTTGCCAATAAACCTTCGGGAACATTTGCGACTATGATACCGATGAGAAAAATCACTGCATCCACGACACCATAACCAATACATAATGCAATAATCAAAAAGCTAACACCAAGAAACACAGCAACACCAGTAATAATGTGAATAAAATGAGAAATTTCTTTGGCTATCGGAGTTTCACCAACTTCCAATCCGGAAGCCAAATTAGCAATTCGTCCCATTATAGTACGATCACCTGTATTGACTACAATACCAGTAGCGGTACCTTCGACACAATTTGTTGAAAAAAATGCCATATTTTTCGTTTCCAATGGATTATCATGTGTACTTTCGTACGAACGAATCAATGGTTCAGATTCACCAGTCAATGATGAATTGTCTACTTTACAACCTTGTGAATGAATAATTCTCATATCAGCTGGTATACGATCACCACCTTTAACATCAACAATATCACCAACAACCAATTGATCTGCTAATATTGTATGTTTTTGGCCATCACGAATGACTATAGCATATTGTGGAACCAGATTCTTGAACGATTCCATAATGGCCGATGATTTGGCTTCTTGATAATAGGAAAATACGCCGGTTATAATAACAACAAATGCAAGTACAACACCAAGATAAAACTAAAATATCTATAACGGATTAAATAGAAATGAATATCTTGATATTATTTACATTATCAAATTCTTCCGGTTGAATGGCTGTGGCGATGAAACAAAGAATGGCACCAACCCATAATAGCATGGCGAAGCCACCAAATAATTGTTTACAAAATTTAATCCATTTTGGTGTTGTTTTCGGTGGTGTAAGTGCATTCAGGCCATCACGTTTTAAGAGTTCCATAGCATTTGCCGAACTATGACCTTGATCTGGATGTGTGATACCATAACGAGCATATAATTCTTCGAATGGAATTTGATGTTCATCCATTTTTACCTCTTGTTTGAGGTCATCTAGATTTTTCTCTGCTTTTGATGATTTACAGCCCTTTAAATTCAATGAGAAAAAAAAGAAATTAAAAATTAAATTATGGATATCAAATGATTGAATTGATTACCATTTTTTTCTGATTGAAAATTTCAAATATCGATAAATGTCAATATAAAAATGAATATTGGACACCGATGGCCAATTTTGGCATTTAATTTTAGATTCGGATTTTTTTCTTATCAACAATTTATCGGATAAATATGAATGAAAAATGGAAAAAATGAGACAAAAAAATAAGGATGCTACCGTCCAAATCACGATCAACAGAATCATACTGGGTTTTTATACTGGAAAAAAAATTTTTTAGATTTATTTTTAGACCAACATTTCCAATCCACATTGAATGTCACAATCCATTTCCATATCTGTAATCGGTATCACTATAAAACATTGTTTTGGATCGAATTTTATGATCCAAATTAAACTCGCACACACACACATACCATTTAATCGATTTCTGTCTATTTCCTCGTGTATCTATGTAACCAGTCATTTCGGGTTTTTTTTCATACATCAGATAAAATTTTTTTTTACGTTTTTTTTATGATGAATGAATAATGCGATTTAAAAATCTAATTAAGAATTTAAAGATGTCATAAAAATTTTTATAAAAAAAAATCAATTTGAACCTTGTAATGGTGGGGATCATTTCCATTATCATTATCATTTAACGTGTGACATTATAAACAATAAACGACTGTTATTGAATTTAGATTACCGGTTCTTGTTTAGTGAATGAGTACATGGGTAACGGGGGGTTTTTTCTATTTAATCAAAAATGAATGTAAAGAAATAGGAAATTTTCCATAATTCGATTGTGCGATTATCAAATTGTTGGAAATTTTAATGAAAAATCTTATCATTTATATCAGTGAATTTTAAATTCTCATTTGATCAACAATTATGATTACAGACACAGACACAGACACATATGAATTCAAATAACAATTCTGGTGGTTGTAATAAAACAAAAAAGAAGAAAAAAAAGTTATCAGATTTGTGAAAGCAATCGATATATACAATATATCATTATCGTTGATTATTGTTATTTCAAATAAAAAAAAATTGACCCTGAAATCAATTTCTACTCCTATCATTGATGATGATAATGAAAATGACGATACAAATAATAAGAAATCAAAGCTTTACACACACACACACACAAACGTGAAAATAAATCTTAGAAGATAATTTCAACATGATGCATCAATACAATGATGATTAGTGGAAGAATACGTAATTTTTAAATGAATTATTATGGTCATAAATTTGATGATGACCATTAAACATTCATCATTCTATTCTATTCTATAGAGTTCTTTGCCATTTTATCCTTGAAACCTAATTACATTGATATATTCTTTAGTTGTTATAGAATACGACCTTCTTTTTTTATGATAGGCTTTGGCTTTTTTTTCATTGGCTAAAATCTCCACTGTTTGCTATAGAATTATTTATCTTTATGACAATCTTTTCTTGAAATACATTATTCTGATTAACTATATTGATCAATAGATCAAGATTACAATGTGAATAATGAACATACAATTCATACACACAATAATTTTCACATTTAATTACCAAGGTTTTTGTTTCTTGTCCAGTAAACGTGTGAAAAAACCGGTTATTCTGGTGTTGGTTTTGTTTTTACCTGTTTAGTGAAAATTTTCGATTGGTATATAAATTGATCGAATGAAAATGACCATTAGCATAATTGAAAAGTGAAAATCAAACAAAAATGATAATGTTCAAAGTAAGATTGTTAAATTCTTACATTAAATTTTTGATTGTTTTTTTCTACTTGATATAGGCAATCGTTTTGTTTGGTATCGTATCGATCATTTCTGCCCAAATGATCATCGATAGTAAACGTTCTGGTTCCGGTGGTTTTGTTGGTCATAGAATAGTTTCAGGTGGTGGTTTTACTGGCAATACTGGTTTAATATCCGGTGGAGGATTTGTTGGTCATCAAAATGTTCCAGTGGTAACAAGTGGAGGTTTTGTTGGCCATGGCAGTAATATTCAATCATTTCCTTCGAATGGACGATATTTTTATGCCACTCCAATGGGACATTCATCGAATATTCCTTCATACATTGAACGTCGACAAACAATTATGCCAGTGGGATCATCACGAATTATGCCTAGTTCGATTTCATCTACTCAATTTGGATCATCAATTTATCCATACAAATCAACGATTGCTACTCAACCATCATCTTTTCGACGATTTCGTCGTAGTATTGATGGACTTCCTACCCATGATCGATCACCGACCGTATACTATGGTATTCGACAACAGAATGGCCAACAACAAAAACAACAATCATCATCATCATCATATGGTCAATCATCAATGAGCGGATATACTGGATCCAGTTATGATTATGGTTATGGTTCAGCTGATGAAACCGTTCCAAAACCATATCAATTTTCATTACAAAGTCAAGATGATGGTACTGGTAGTGCTAATTGGTATCAACAAGAACAATCAAATGGTGACGGTGTTGTTGTTGGTTCATATACTATTCAAGATCCAATAACCGGTATAATGAGAATTGTAAATTATCGTGCCGATGATGATGGATTTCATGCTGAAATTCAATCCAATGAACCGGGTGTTGTTGATTCTGATCCAGCTAATGCATCCATACGAACTATTATGAATAATGTTGGCACTGTAAATTCTGGATATTCATCCGTCAGTGGACAACAACAACAGCAGCAACAACAACAACGTGTTGATTATCAACAATATAAACAACAATCGTATGGTGTACCAACGTATTAAAAATTAACATGATGATGAGATGATCAAATTTTGATTTACATTGAAAAATCAAATTATTTAAAATAATAATAAAGTAATTCGTTTTATATATAAACAAATGAAATTGTAAAGAATTTCGTTTATTTTTGTTTTGTTTGTATTTTTACAGATTATTACTACATTGTTACGATGAACATGATACAAATCTATCGATACATATTCATCATAATGATGATGATCATGATCATGATCATTTCAAATGTACAAAATATACCATTTATTAATCGTGAATTAATCAATTTTGAATGGTTTCCACATACATATGATACATGTGAATCAACATCATGTCAGAAATCAACAATGAATTGTTCATCAATATTATCGAAAAAATTTATATTGAAAACAATCGATATAGTAATGATTGATGATCAAATATATCAATTTATTAATAATAATGATGATAATAATGATCAATATATGAATGTTATTGTTTATGATATTTATAATCAAATATCATGTGAACATGACTGTTATCGTCGTTTTTATTTAGATGGTGGACAAATGATCCATATGAAACATATACAAGAATTAATGAATGAATATGGAATGTATAATGATTATATTGTATCCAATAAAAAGGATTAACACATTTTCTTCTATATAAAAAAATTGATTCGAAAACGAAAAAAATTTTATACAATTTTGATTTACATTTAATGGTAGAAAATTATTATTATCATTTTCATTTGGAAACCAAATCGAATACAATAAGAAATATGGATGATCAACCAAGTATTACAATGTTGAATATTAAAAAAATAAAAAAAACAACTAATGATTTGTTATTCTTTATGGATTTGGATTTTAAGAACGTTCGTCTTTATGAACGATATTCATTTTTATTACATAATAATGGAATAACATATCGAATAACATCACATGAAAAACATCCATCATTATTTATGGTTAAATCGATTAATAAAAAGATCAATACATTTTATTGGTGTATAGAGGATCATATGGATTATGCATACATATGGACAAGAAATACTCAATCAGTCAAAGAACATCCAACATGCAGTCATGATGAACACAATTATCCATTGAATTTTCAGCCATCATATGGATTTTGTTTCAATAATTATATTTATCTAATATCATATAGATGGCAAAGAATTGCCATTGTAAATGTAGAAGCATTATATTCAACTGGACATCATCGAATTTCAATTATTTTTTTTGAAGAATTTTTTCTTTGCCAATTTAATGAATGGACAAAACCAAATTTTCATTGGTTTCCAATATCACAACAATCATCTGGTGGAAAAAATCATCATGGAAAACAAAATCCAAAACATCAACAACAACAACAACAACAACAACATCACCACCATCATAAACATCATGAATTTATCAAATGTCGTACATTCGTGAATGATTTATTAAAACATACAATCGGCATTTCAATGATGAATAATCGTTTATACATTTCTATACAGGATAATTTGAATCAAATAATGATATGGGAAAATTTTAATGAAACAACAATCAATAATATTGATCATTTTACACTTGGAAGATATGGTTATTGGGTTAAAATTACCGATTCCGGTTTCTATACTATATGGAATAAGATGTCATTTGTGAAACAATATGATCCTCATAATAATAATAGCCATCATATTAATCCAATAGCAATATCAATGTTAAATACAACTGTCAATTGTGATGATGAATATGATGTTGGTTCTAAAACATATTTTGTTGGCCATTTATTATGCCAACAATTTGGACAATTGATAGATTTATATTGGGAAACAACAAAACAACCAGAATGTACAAAATTTGAATTACATTATACAAACATGACACATAATGATGATCATCAACAACAACGACAAAATAATGGACATAATTATCGTTTTGTTGAAATTTCTGGCCAAAATGAACTATATACAATAGTAATGAACGCAAATTATGATAAAATAGAAACGTTAAAATCACCAGTGAATGTATGGCGTAGAAAACCAGGTAATACACATATTGAATATATGGGTAAATTATGTTGGTCAATTGATGGTAATGAAATTCGTCTTATCAATACTGGTAATAATATAGATCATAATAAATTTAACGTTGATTATGATGATAATGAATGTGGTATTACCGCTTATTTTACATCGACAATATCATATGGATTTATTGGAAAAATCAATAAATTATATCTAGTATCATTGAAACAATTTGAAATGATTATTGTTGATGCAAAATTATTATATGATTATCATAATCAAAATAATCGTTGGCATACTGTACGTAGAATAAATCTTCATTTTTCAACAATTTTTAAATGTCAATCTAAACATCATCATTAACACACACATGGTGGAGATCACCATCATCATCATCATTTTATAAATATAATCCACACATGTAAATCATTCGAAAAACCAAAGATGAATGGAAAAATCAAATCAAAAATCATTTCTTCAAAACAATGTAACATGTAACGACATCTGTTGATGATTATATTGATTAAAAAAATTAAATTTTCAATATTTTCAAACAAGGAAAAGTTATATTCATTCATTCATGTTTTTTAAATTAAAATTATATATGTCAACCACTGATTGTGAATAAGGTCAATCAATCAATCGATCAAAGTGTAAATAAAAAATTTTTTTTTCCATTTCAAAATCAATATAATAAATGTTGTGCAAGTAATTCATATAATTCAATTTCTTTGAATTTCTTTTTACCACTCAATAATAATGCCTCTAATGATGGCCGACCATATGATGATGAATATGGTGATGATGGCCGACCATATGATGATGATGATGATGAATATGGTGATTTATTATAGCTTGGATCATCATTGACACGTACTTTGATAAGACCATCCAGAATACTTAGGCCAAGATTTTTTCGATATGGATCTTTATCCAGATCCATTGTGTAGAAAATTCTATCATATATAAACAATTGTTGAGAAAAAAAAACAAAGTTAAATGATTCAACAACAACAAAAAAAAAAAACAACTTACGGAACATGAACACCAACATGTTTACCACCATTGTTTAGGTTATGTACATCGACATCAATCAAACCACCAAGACCACCGCCATTTTGGCTAGCACCTTGATAATATCCTCCATAATGGCCATTACCACCACCACCACCACCAGCACTACTACCACCGTATCCATAGGCATTATTTTTTTTATATCCACCATAATCATTATATATCGGTGTTTTTGATGTTGTCGTCGTTGTCGTTGTTTTTGATGATGAAGTGGAAATTTGACAATTGACAAAATTATTATTATTATTATGAATAATAATCATAATCATTAACATCATCAAAAAGGTCATCATCATCTGTATTCGAAACAATTTTATTGTCATTGTGGTGGGACATTTATTATTATTATTTGATGTAGAATTCATTGTTTTATTGTTGAAAATGGAAAATTTGTAATTATTATTTGTGTTTTGTGTACACGATGAGAATAATGATGTGATGATTTCAAAAAAAAAAAAAAAAATTGTTTAAAACAACAAATAAAGAATATGTTCCAACAGAAAATTTTATTCAAAAAACTTTTTTTTCATACACAACGAACGTCACACTGATGATCATGATGATGATGATGATTGAATGGTGAATGAAAATGATGTGGTGGAAATAGAACTATGTCACAATCGAAACTAATAAGATTCTCTCTATAATGATAATTGAATAGTATTTGAATGAGGAAAACAAAACAAAACAAAAAAAAACAGAAAAAAAATTTGGATCGATAACGCCCGTTTCGATAAGTTTCAATGGTGATATTCAAGAAACGCGTTAGGAAAAATGATTCGAACAATAAAAACTACAGAGATATAGGATATACAGATATATAGTGATAAAAGTAATTCAGTGGTGAGAAAATTTAAAATGTTTGTCCCATTTGATAATTGCGGAAAAAACAAAATTCAAAATCGAATACATTCATTGATAATTTCGATGAAAATGTCGAATGGTGGCATTGACATTGAAACGATACACGATGATGACGATGTTTGAATTTGTGGCCCCCTTTTTTTCCAACTGCCAGTTTCATTCGAATAGCAGAAACAAAAACAAAACAGAAACAAAAATCGTTTGACTTTTTCTTCTTCATTTTGTAAATAATAATAATAATCATCCAAAAGGAAAAGGTCAGAAAAAATAAAATCCCTAGTCCGCGATTGACGCCGTCCACCTATTGAACTTATTTATCCACATTCATTTACTTATTTGAGAATGAATCCCCCCATTGCCAATCATTATCAATCTCAACCTTGTGGAAACGCGCGCACTTCCCATCATTATATCCGATTCATTCGATAGTAAAACAAACAAAAGAGAAAATAAACGAAGAAGATATGAATCAAAACACAAAACAAACATTTAACCGCCAGAAACACAAGGATGGATTAAATGATTGTGAAAAAAAAAATTTTGTCATTATTATCATCATCATCATTGAATGTGTATATGTAATATGGAGAAAAAATTACAATTCACGTTCCACACACAATCAAATGAATGTCGTACAATGTATATAATAATCTTTTCTATATTCTAATCGTTTTTTAATTAGACCATTTATATATATGTAAAAAAAAATACAATAAATAAATTCTAATTGTAATGTAATAATATTTTCATTTTTGTGTGTGTGTTTGTATTATATATATGATTATAAATCATAAAAAAAATAATAACAATTATTATCAATGACAATGAGCGACATATTCCAAAGTTTTTTTTTCAGTGGATCTATTATGGATTCAATGGACCACAATGAAACAAACATTGTTTAAACAAAGCTTTGAATAATTTTTTTTTTTTTGTTTTTTGTTTTGTTTTGTTTTTGTTTCGTTGACAATTTAGAAAATCGGTGAAAGACAATGATAATGATGTCATTAAGATGAAGATGATGTCGTTGATGATGATGATGATGAAAATGATGATGGCTTTAATGAAGGCGATAAATTTTGTTCGAATATTGTTTTCGAGACAAAAGATTTTTGTTTTAAACTTTCCACTTTAGTTAAATCTTCAATCTTTTCTGCTTCCAATAATTGTCGTAATAAACGTTCATCTCGTTCTAATTCAACACTTGGTTTTTGACCACCTTTCGGTTTATTTGGATCACGTATTGTCCATTCAATATTGTAGCCAATTGCACCAATGACCATAGCAACTGGTAACATTATATATGGTGCATAAACACGTGCAACTGATATTAATGCTGGTATCATTTTGTTTCATTAATTAATTTTTTGATTTTTTTTTTTTTTCATCAGAACCGGTGAAAAAAAATATCGATATTCGATCATATAAAGGTCGATCAAATCATCTGTTGTATGAAAAGGGTATATCCCAGCTGGATTCCAGATGGCGCCACATTGATTTTTTTTTGTAATTAAATTAAATTCGATTCTAAATTCTTTGCCCCTCAATATGATGAAAATATTATCATTTTCAATTTGATTTCAAAATTTTTTTTTACCAACTACCATGATGATGAAATTGACCAATGTCCACTGAAGGTATGTTCATGATGATTGAAGTTACGCAAATCGTCTGATAAAATTGTCATTTGATTCAATTCAATTTTTAGCCACAGGTTTCGATATTTCACTTCAATGAAGACGAAAAAAAAATCAAATAAAAAATTTTGAAATTTTTCCAGGGTGCTAATCATTTCATCAAAATGGATTTATTGAAAAAAAATGTCATTAAATATCCAAAAAGTTGTCAATGATCGTATTGCCATCATCATCGTAATCGTTGGTATGGATCGATTTAATGGCCCATACAAATCCATTATGAAGAAAAAAAAACGAAATAGTCGATTTACGAAAACTAAAACGAAACGTATCATTTCCATATTCTAATCATCATTTTCATCAACATCATAATCCTGATGATTTGTTGCCATTTGCCGGTAATGGAGTTTTGATGAATTTTCTTTTTTTAGATATAATTCTCATTTACATTTATTTCATAGATTTATAATATTATTGTTGTCGATGTTGATGATGGTAGATCGGCGGCATAGTTTCACAAGTTTTGGACTTGGATAAACGAGAGAAATAAGAAACAAAAACTAGTTTCATTCAAAACACAAGATCAACGAGAAAAAGAGAATGAAAAATATTTTTTTCCATTCGAAAATGAGAAAATGAATAAGGTCAACCTGTTGCTGTTGTTGTTGTTATGTGTTGAACCACTACATGAAGCATTCGAAGCAACGGATCCTGTTATCATCATATTCATTTCAAAAACCGCTTCCAATCATTCATTCATTTAGCCGAGTAGTCAAAATTCCAGAACATTATTATTATCATTGTGTGTGTGTGTGTTTTGTTTTCGTAGCCAATGTTTGTGTTTTTTCTTTCTTTCACACTATGATCATGTTATTATCATCATCATTTCAACAACACAATGGACAACGATTTTGTACTCAGTTTTTTGTTTTTGCTTTAGAAAACAAAAAATATATTCTACATTTATTTGTGTTAAATCAGATCATTGGTAATTAAATGAAAATGTCGTAATTTTATTAAAAAGTTTCATCCAAGAAAATCCAGTGAAATCAAAAATGATTCATAATGACTAATTCTACAACTATAACGTTTATAATAATAATAATATTATGCATTTGTTCCATTCATACGAATGATGAATATAAATGTCCAAAAAATCAATTCTATCTTTATCCATGTCGTTGTACAAGCAATGGTTTTAGCGGTATCGATTTACAATGTGAAAATTCCAATCTAGCCACTATATCATTGGCACTTGAAAATGTTAAAACACCAATCAATCATTTGATGATCAACAATGCCAATATTACACGTTTATTTGGGCCATTATTCAAGGATAAAATCATTCAATCATTATCGATTCGTGATTCTAATCTACAAACAATTGATTATGAATGTTTAAATATAAATACAAATTTTAAATCCATTCAATTGGATGGTAATCGATTCATATCGATACCTGAAGCTATAGGTATCGAATTGTCTAATCTCACCAAATTGACTGTGATCAATAATAAAGAACGTATCATTAACGAAATAAAAGCAAATGATTTCAAAAAGAATGTTCAATTAATTGAATTGAATTTACGAAACAATTCAATTGCTAAAATTGATTCATCAGCTTTCACACCGTTAACAGTTTTAGGTAAGTAATTAAATGTTTTCAATCATATGATGACCTCATTTAATTAAATTCAAATAAAAATTTTTCGATTTTAAAATGATTTATTATTATTATTATTTTTAGAAAAACTTGATCTAAGTCATAATCGATTGAAGAAAATTGAACGAAATCAATTTCGTGCTAATAAAAAACTTGGCTATCTTGATTTGTCATATAATGATTTTAAAGAATTGGGAAAATCCGATTTTAATGATCTGGTTTCTGTGACCACATTGAATTTATCCTATAATGATTTACGAGAATTTCCTCGTTCCATTTTTGGACGTGTTTCACAGCTTAAAGTGCTTAATTTATCTGGCAATAAATTCAAACAAATTGATTCATATATGTTACGTGGTGTACGTTTCCTAAAAGAACTTCATGCTGGCCATAATCTGATTGAAGGATTGGCTAAAAATTCATTCACATCAACCACACGTATCAAATTGATTGATTTATCACATAATCTGATGACCGAAGTGGAAACAGAAATATTCAAAGATATGCAATGGCTTGATCTAATTGATTTAAGCTATAATCATATAAACAAAATCAAAAAAGGTTCATTTCAACGAATGTTTAAAATAGCCATAAAATTGAACAATAATAATATATCAACTATTGAATATAAATCATTTCAAGAATTGAGCAATATCACCGAACTCGACCTGTCAAATAATCAGATTGAAACACTTCGTGCCAATATATTCGATGAATGTGATTGTACTATTTTCAAATTGAATGACAATCAAATCAGAAATCTGTCGAATGTCGACATATTTGCCAATCTGACTGGTTTACGAATGCTGAATCTAAGTCGAAATTTCATAACAGAAATCAACCGTAAACATTTTACAACGAAAAAATTATATGAATTAAGTACAATTGATCTAAGCTATAATAATATAACGGAAATATCTGGAAATGTATTCGAAAAATTCGTCTCCATACGACAGATAATATTGACGCATAATTTGATCGGTAAAATTAGCTATAATGCATTTGGAGCATTGCCAACATTATTAGAATTAGATTTGTCACATAACCAAATCAGTGAAATATCCAACGGTGGTGTTTCGAATCTATTATCAGTGAAAACAATTTATCTTAATGATAATCGTTTGGAGCGAATGTTTCCCGTTTCGATGGCTGTCAATACATTACATTTGGAAAATAATCGAATACAATCGATTGGATCAAATATGTTTCCAATGATTAACGCAGTGTTGGCCATCCATTTAGATAATAATAACATTAGTCAACTGGATGATAATTCATTCAGACAATGTTTATCATTAAATACATTGACGTTGAAAGGAAATCAATTGACTGAGATACCGCAACGAGCCTTGGCACCATTGACCTCATTACAGAAACTTGATTTAAGTTTCAATCATTTAAAAAATTTAGGTATGTTATTAGCTGCTTATTTTGTTGTCTATTATTTATTATTATTATTATTATTAGCACAATCAACATTTCGAATCATTTAATTTTGTTTATTCGATTTATATGTGAATTGTTTTATAAACAAAAATAATAACATGTTTTTTTTCTAAAATCTATTGATTCATTGATGACAGGTCGTAACGCCTTTGGAACATTGAATATATTATTCGAACTTGATTTAAGCAATAATATGATCAAGAATATCAGTGAAAACTCTTTTGAAGGATTGTTGCAATTATTGGCATTAAATATGAGCCATAATGAATTGAATCAATTAACTCCTGATGTTTTCAACACTTTGGTTTCACTTCGTACATTGGATCTATCATATAATCAGATTAACAATTTAGACAATGGAACACATAGTCTATTTGATCAACTATTATCATTGGAACGATTGAATACATCACATAATCAAATTTCAATTATCAAAGATCGTTCATTTCCATATTCACCATGGATTCCATATAAACTTCGCCATTTAGATCTTTCCTACAATACTATACCGGTGCTTACATCACATTTCGATAATGGACTATCAAAATTGAATTGGTTATCATTAAAGGGTAACATTATCAATGAAATTTATCCAAATACATTGGGTAATCTAACTGAGCTTGAATATTTGGATCTATCGGAAAATGATCTGCGAAAAATCTCAAAAGGTGTATTACAACCAATCCCTCGAAAACTAAAAGAATTGGATCTATCATTCAACAAGATTAAATCATTGTTTGTTGATGATATTATATCTATACCATCACTAATCAAATTGAATCTTAATTCTAATCGATTAAGTCATATTGATGAAGAATTAATCGAGCGGATCAAACAAAATTTGACAATTTATTTTGATGGTAATAATTCCTTCTTGATAATACAATAATAATTGTTGAATAATTCTCATTTATTTTATACACAGATAATTATCTTCATTGTGATTGCAAAATAATGACATTAGTTTCATGGATATTTTCCCAGCACCATCAATCGAAACTGGAGGGCAAACAATCCACTGTATATGAACATTGGCGAAATTTACAATGTCACGAACCATTGTATGTGAAAAATAAATTTATGGTCGATCTTCGTGCCACCATGGTCGATTGTGATGAAAATGAACGTGATTCATATGGGAAAAAATTCACAAGCACATCATCAATACGTATTCGAACAATAGATAAATTTCGTAAACGACGACAAGAATCGATGCGTATCGTTTGGTTCATACAGAATCAGGTGGAAGATATTGCATCGTTTCAGATTCTATTACGATCGGAAAATAATCCTAATGATTATTTTGTCAATGAGAAAGTCAATTATTTAAAACGTTCATTCATTGTAAATAATAATAATCTACAACCTGGAAATCGTTATGTTCTTTGTATAGTGCCAATTGATTCTATGGGTATCATGGTTCATTCAAATGGTGATGAAAATTTTGAACAAAATTGTATTCATTTCTTTAATAGTCATGCACATGTTATTATTGATGGTGATCAAACACAACAACAACAACAACAATCACGACAAAAATTATCGAACGCACCACGAGTACAAAAATCAAATCATCATTATCAATCATCATCAGCTGCATCATTTTCTTCATCAAGAATTTTGATTAGTCACCTTATTTTATTATCCATCACTTTATCATTATAATATATACTGTATATATAATTGATAATTGATTGGGAAATTTTTTTTCCATGTAAATAGTATTAATACGTAGTACATATTTTTCGGTTGATTTTTTTCCATGAAAATAATCCAAACAACTAAACACAAACATTGAAAATACAAAATAAAATTTTATTTGTATGAATTATTTGGGATTTTCTGATCAAAGCAGTAAAAAAAATGAAAGCTAAATGATTTCAAATATGGAAAAAAAATTAGTAGTTATCACAATCATTTTTAGTGCCTCTGGAAACAAAAAAAAAATATTGTCGATTATAAAATTCATCTAGGCAATGACCAATGGTTCATCATCCGAATAGGCGTGATTGTCTTCGACTAGTAAAAAGAAAAAAAAAGATTTTCATTAGAAAAAAAATATGTAACTTGTCTGAATAAAAAATATACCTTGAAGATTATGATACGATGAAAGTGTGGCCGAATCTAATCGAGAATTATAACGGCTACCGGCAAATGCAGCCGATAATAAGATTGTTGGCCGTGATCCAATATTTTTTACGGCCATATATGCCAAGAAAATGGACATGGTTATAATGATGAATATTAAAAATAGTTCTTTGATGCCAAATTGGTATAAATATGATGATGTTGTTATTGTTGATGTTGTAGCTAAAAATAGTAGATTATTAATAAAAAAAAATTGCAAAATATTAATGATCATGAATCAAACTAACCGAAATCTTCTGTGTAAAGCTTATATGTTTCTGAAATTGGTCCCGAATAACCATGATTATCAATTAATGAAACGGCAACAAAGTAATGATCTTTTTTGATTTTCGTTTCGAATATAGCCGGCGGTGATTTTGTTTGTATTGAATGTCCTTTTTGTACATCTTTTTCATCATGCAAATAGACTTTATATTGGATCCTGGTGGTGTGATAATGATCATTAATGATTGGAACAATATGAAAACAAAATAAAAATGATTACTTACCTATGCTGTTTATAATCATCATTTATGGGAAAATTATCAACCATTTTCCAAATGACTTGTATTTGATTTTTATTATTAACATATGCAAATGGTTTCGTGACTGTAGGCATTGCTGGTGCTTCTAAAATTGTTTTCTCACTCCATCGAGATGATATTCTGCCATTTCCGGTGATTGTTGCCACTTTTATCTCATAGATTGCACCATAATGTACGCTTAGATCAAATGAATGATATGTATCACGATTTGGTTGAAATCGGAATCGATCCAAACGTTTATTGACTAAATCATAAACATTGACAATATAGCCAATTTTTTCCGGTATAGGTGATTGACATGTAGCATTCCAATTGATTGAATATCTGGTGGCCAGTTCATTGGAAACTCGATATTGAATTCTTCGCGGTGGTGATGTTGGATCAAATTTCGTTATAATTCGTAGCGGGTCTGATGATGCAGAACCGATTCCAAACGGTTTGATTAGACGTACCTGTACGGTATACATTTGACAATTGAATAAATTTTTCAATATAATTTTCGTATCTTTAGTTTGGGCATAAATTCGCAGATTTTGAACATCATCACCAACATATATGGCATATTCCCATTCAATTGTTTTTTTATCATCCTTATTTAGTAGATATTCAATGGATTTTCGAAGAGGTGCTTGCCACCAAAGAGAAATTCTTGAACCAGAAACCTCGTATTGAACAGAAACAGATGGTAATTGTGAACCAAATGTACGTATATCCAGAACATTATTATCGATACCATCGAACCAGAATTGGTCATCAATATAGGGATATAATTTAAATCGATAATCCACACCAGGCGATAAATTGTTCACAATTATTCGATTATTTTCAACGGTTAAATTTCGTGAAAACGAAGGAAAATATTTTTCACAAGTGTAGACAATAAACCATTTAGTAATGTTTTCCGGATGTGATTGCCACGATAATTCAATCGAATTGATGGTATGATTTTTTGCTGTAAAATTTTTGATTGCTGCAATCGATCCAATCGATAAAGGAATTTTTATTGAATTTTGGCTTTCTAGATTTCTATTCAACGATGTAACCCAGAATGTATAATTAATACCGGTTTGAAAACAACATAATTGAATCTGATTAGAATGACTATCAAATGTTATTGGTGGATCTGGTGGTGTTTGATATATACGATAACTTTTGATTGATGTCGGTGATAGTGGTATGGACCAATTTAACAATACTTGATTATATTCAACAATTTTTGCAGTCAAATTATCAGGTGCTGGCGGTGAAATAGATTCCGTTGTTACAATTACAAAACTATTTGATGGATATATCTGAGTATCGTTTTCATGAATGTCAGTGGAATTTGGTGATAAAAATTTATAGTAAACAAATGCTTTATATGTATGGCCAGGTGTTAGATTCTGAAATGTATAGCTTTGATTCTCAGTCCAATCTGTGGCATTAAAAGCAGATTGATTATTTATTGTCGATGAATGATGATGATGATGATGTTCATCAATCCATGCCGGTAAAAATGAATAAACATGATTGAACATATTTTTCAATTGTACACGCCAATAAATAGTAAAACTATCGATACGAATTGAATCATAATGTACAAAAATTTGTAATCCATCTTTAGATATTTTAGCTTGTTCACAATTTTCTTCATCACTACCATCAAGACAATCATGGTGGCCATCACAATGTTGATTTAATTCAATACATTCACCATCATTACAACTGTATCCAAGACAAACAGGTGCAACAGTTACTTTGGAATTTAGACAACCCCATTCATCGCTTCCATCGAAACAATCTTGGCGACCATCACAAACTTTTCTTGGTGGTATACAACCAATACTTAATAGGCAGCTAAAATAATTTTCTGGACATTTAATTTCCGTATCGTTGAAACAATTTTGTTCATCTTCATTGAAACGGCAATCCGGTCGACCATCACATACGAAAAGTTGAAGTATACATTGATTTGATTTATAACAATAAAATCGATTATTACCACATTTTAAATCGCCATTCGATAAAATGCTTGTTGATTCAATGTTGGACCCATTTTCGTTCTTATCGTTTGATGATATTATTTCAGGACAATCTAATTCATCTGTACCATCAATACAGTCTTTGTTACCATCACAAAACCATTCGATTGGTATGCAAAAATTATCCGATTGACAATGATATGAATTATTTGGACATTTCAATGATGAATCATGATTTTTGTTGTTGTTGTTGTTGGTATGATCATGTTCAGGATCGTATGATCCTTGACCAGTAATATTGGTAATGATACCAGCATCAGTACAGTTTGCTTCATCACTTCCATCGATACAATCTGGATCATTATCACATACAAAAAGTTTATCGATACAAATATTATTTGGACAACTGAATTCCATTTCAGTACATCCCGATGTACAATTATCTAATTCATCACTTTTATCCAAACAATCAAAATAACCATCACAACGCCAATGTTTATGGATACAATCACCATTATTACAACGAAAATGTCCATCTTCACATTGGGTTATATTTTCAGTGGTTGAATGATTACTATATGCACAGCCAATTTCATCGCTACCATCACGGCAATGGTCAAGAAAATCGCAAACATTTCTTATATCAATACAACGATAATTGCTACATTGAAATTCTGTTAATGGATTACATTTTTGATAGAATGATGCACATAATGTTAAATCTTCATCACTACCATCTTCACATTCTTGTTCATGATCACACATCCATAAATCTTGTATACATTTTCCAGATGATTTACAACGAAATTCTCTTAATTTACATTGTTCATTATGACAATATTTTTCATCCGATCCATCATTACAATCATCATCTTCATCGCATTTCCAATAACGTGATATACAATTACCATTATCACATTGAAATTCATTTGATGCACAAGTCGCATTCGGTGATGATGATCGACATGCACCTGTTGCTGTCAATATACGATCATATGGACATGAACATTTTTCATTACCATCTGGTGTTTGAGTTATAATATATCCATCAGGACATAAACATCGATATGTATTGAACGGTGTAGCAATACAAAGATGTGAACAAGTACCATTCAAATTACAGACATTGGTTTCATTGGAAAATTGATTCGTAACAATCTTTAAATCCATTGCACTTGAAACATCTTCAAGTATTGTTTTACGTACGGTGGAATTGTTTTTACTGATCAATATTAATTTATTTAGAACCCAATCATCATAGAATACCATGTCTTTGAAAACGCCTAATGCAAATGGATGTGGTGCTTGTTCACCACGAATAAGATATCTAAAATCTGTACCATCATATAATGAATTTGCGATATAATCATGTTTAGCATCCACCCAATAGATTCGTTTGGCCTGATGATCAACAGCAATACCGTTTGGCCATTTAACAACATTACTATTGAATAAAACGCGTACATTTTTACCATCTAAATCACTTCGAATGATGGCCGATGTTAAACTCCAATCGGTGATAAATAAAAAACATTCAATCGGATCAATAGCAATGCCTCTTGGTTTCTTGATATTTGGATCACTTAAAATTGTTCGACGCATTCGACCTTCATAATTGATTCTTGTGTTGATTAATTCAACTTTGGATTTGTTTCCATTTACAAAATATAAATGACCATTAATCTGATTGAATGCAATACCTTCAACAGAATCCAGACCTATTTCAACCAATGTTTCTGGTTGTAATTGTTCACCATCGAAACAATACCGTAGGATTCTATTCGAATGAATATCTGACCAATAAAGACAACTGTTTTTGTAATCAAAATCGGCTGCAATAGCATTCGTTAAAAATGATTTAGGCAATAATGTTAATTTAGTAAATTCATAATCATTCAATGGAATGATTGATATTTCTTGTCGTTGAATAAATAGAATGAATTCAGGCACTAATGTTGTATTGAATGGACATGGAAGCAAATGTGGTGAATACCAATCTTCTTCACCACCTTCACAAGTATCACCAGGTAATTTACGAAAACCTTTAGTCTTGTTAAACATTCGTCCAGGTGAACAATTGCTATAGTTGATCGATTCAAGCCATGATTCGTGTACAAGCTCACAATGAAAACCAATGGATTTAGTAACTGGCATGTAACCTAAATCACATTCATAATCGGAATGTTTACATGGACAATTAATCTGATAGACTGGACGGGCAAATTCATTGCCATTATAACATTTTCGGCTAGGAATACGTCGAAGAAAAATTTGTGTAGATCCAAGTAAACATTTGGATTCAAAATCATGTGGTGACCATTCTTTATAATCGGTTGGCATTCGACATGGTGAGTCGAAAATTTCCGTAAAATTAACCTGTTTTAAATTCATTTATAATGAGATAAAGTATGTCCAAACAAACTAAAAATAATGATCAAAACTAACCTGAATAACAATCCATTCATGACGTTTTTCTGCAGAACCAAATATTGTAAATGTAGCCGTTTTCTCTCCCGGTTCTGTCAATAGTCCGTATACACGAATTTTATTCGGATGAAATTTAAGCAATGTGAATGAATATCCATCATCGATTGAATAGTAGAGTTCATTGGTTGGACCGGCTTTTGAAAAATGTTCTACGGCTACTATGATGCTACCGAAATCTCCAAATGCATAGAGATAATTACCGGTAAGTATTTGACGCCATGTATTTCCAGCATCAAGACTTAGATAAAGATTTTGTTTGCCTTTTAATGAATCACCAAGTATACCAGTGGCAAGTATAAATCCAACCGATGATTCACGTGTGAGTATTGGTTTTGAATTTGAATTCATTGACAGATATCGTTGCGTTAAATGTAATGAACAATTATTATGAGTAATATTGCATACGATTGGATGGCCAAATGCATCTTTTGTTGGTGGTTTCAATGTATGCCAACGATTACCCATATCGAATGTAATCAACGTAATAATATCCGATATAGATTTACGTTGTGGATTTTTCCATTTAGAAATAATATATGTGCCACGAATGCCGGCCACACGATGTATGTCGGCAAATTCTTGATCTTTAGATATTTCATAATGTAATCCAGGTATATGTCCCGAATATTCTGGATGATAGAAGACAATATTATCCAAAGATAAGGTAAATTTATCGAAATCAACATTTGAAATATAAAGATTTGTTTGACCATTTCGAAAAGTGACGCAAAGAAAGATGGCCACATCGGTTATATCGACTACAAAATAATTGACAGGTTCGAGCATATCACCGAAATCTGAATCTAATATTTGTACTTTGAAAAATGGTTGACGATCGATAGAAATCCATAAATCAAGCATAGAATGACTTTTGTTGCTGTTATGTGTGTATAAATTCAATCGACGAGTTGCAAATATGAAACGATTTTGGATGGAAACTTTTTGCACATCTGGTAACCAGGTATGAACGAAATGATGTTTTAAATGATGATCACTAGGAAATGCAATTAAAGATGATTGACCATTAGGTTCAAAACGTTGTGCAAAAATCGTTCGAAAATCTATAGCTGGATCAATTTTTGGTATAGTCCATGTAAAATAACCAGTAGAAGTTGAATGTATTACTTCCCAAGTAATGCCAAAATCTTCACTAACAAATAGAACATCATTTGATGATTGTGCAAGAATTAGATTTGGTTCGGTTGGATGTAGTTGAAATTTTTTCGGAGTAAAAGGTAAACGATTTCGTTTAAATGTTCGACCATAATCATTAGTGATGAAGATGTGTTGATTTTGTTGATCAACAAACACGTAGAATGAATTCAATATTGGTGATATGTAGAATGTATGCATCATTGCAGATTGATTGTCATTTGTTTTCAAATCAGCCATTAAAAATGTTCGCCCATAATCATGTGAAATGTATATGGATGATGATTGATTTTGGCGACTGTTTGCACGATTTTTGGCCAAACATATGATAACTGGAGTATTGTTCCCGGCCCAATGAACTATTTAAATTGAAATTTAATTATAAAATTTTTAATTAATTAATATGAAACAAACCTGTAAGCTGCTCATGGCTATCATTGAGATTAACAAAATGAATCAAAGATTTATTATAGGAAAATGTTACACCAAGAACATTGGATTTATTTTCAATTGTTGAATTTCTAATATTAAGCCATTGACTAAGACGATGATCATTGGGACCTAAAAAATCACCACTAAATGCATCAACAGATTGATGTTGTGTTATTAGTAAATGATGAATTGAAAATAAAATTGTAAATAAAAGTAATATTTTAAAATTTTCATTCATTATGGCTGGCTTGTTATGAGAATGAGATCATCAAAATCATTTAGATAGATCAATATATATAAAAATTATAGCTGCTAAATGTTGATTATCATATAAAACGATTGAATAAATATCTATGACCAATTATTATTGCTTTGATGATACATTTTCATGATGGTCATGCTTTTCGTATCAATTGTTCGTAGATGAAATTCGGATATTATCAAGCTTCAATTAATTTGGCACACATTTTTTTTTGAAAAAATTCTCTAAAAAAATTTGGCAACACAAAAACAAAAAAAAATTTTTTTGTTTGTTTACATTGATGAATTCATGTGGATGAAATTTTTTTGTTTCTTGCTTGATTCAATGAGAAGAAGATCGCGCTACAGCCAAAGAAAAGTGGCCACTGGTTTCTCGGATACCATACACAAAGAATGTGTTCCAAATAATAATAATTTAACGCGCGCGTTAAATGATTCAATTTCGATTCGTTTGAAAATGTAGGAAAAAAAATATTAAATTCAGGTTGCCATTGGTTACCGAGGAGATACACACAAAAATAACCGACACATTTGATCGTCATCAACAATCAATGATGAATGGATATGAATGTCAAATCTATTTTCAATCAAAACCGAATTTGATTTGAATAATTTGCTTAGAAATCATTTCTTGATGCCATTTATTTAGTGTTGGCCACTGTTTTTATCATATCAATCGTTTGTTGATGATATCAACGTCGTATTTTTTTTTCTTATCCGTCAAAATATTTGCAATTGATAAATCAAAATAATCATCATGGTATTTACTTATTTTCATATATAGTGATCATTGGATTCAATTTGAATTTATTTTTTTTTTTTTACCACATAGTCAAATTTAAATTATCGAATGAAAAACAAGATACAAAGCAATGTACAATTACAGATTCTTTTACATTTTAATATCTTTCTATTCATTTTATGGATTATTCTACATATTTTCTATTATCAACGAATCGAAATTATTCAATATTGTCAACAGGTTTTTAAGGTTAATGAATTTAATTCTAAAAAAAATAAGAAAAATTCAACTTACACTTTTTTTATTGAACTTTATTTTAGAATGATGACCTTTACGTTTTTCTTCGCAATGCATCATTCACATTGTTGACCATTGTTGAATTTGGCCGTCTATATGCTGGATATTATGGTAATCGGTTGGAAAAGGTGTGTGTTGTATTGTTGTAATTTCAAATTTTGTGATTTAGACATAATTAATCCTATCATCATTCGATTCAGATTCAATATATGATTGCATTCATATTCTTATCAACAACGTTTCAATTGCCAAATCATCTTTTTCGTTTGATCACAATTGAATGTTGGTATCATCATATATTTATACCTGAAATAATTTCCAATCTTTTACTATTATTGATGACATTGGCTGAAATCGTATTCAGTGTTTGGCATTTGAAAATAATATTGGAAAAAATTTATCAACAACAGCAGCAACAAGAATCACAACAAACTACTAGTGTCAGCAAAAATGATGATAATAAACATCAACAACAATATATTGGATATGATAATTGTTGAACTTGTATGATGATTGTAATTCGAATGTTTGCGATCATCGATTTCTTCAAATTGTCATTCACAATTCAATGTTCAATGTTTTGATTGATCGTAGTCATGATATATGATTGCAGCTCCCGGTTTTTTCTAAATTGATGATGGAAAATACCATCATATTTTTTAACAGAATTGTAATTCTGTTCACCACAAATCATGTTTGAAATATGAATGTTTTAAAAAAAATGAGAAATGAAAAAAAATCACTATGATAATCTATTATAACATTTTATGATCTTGTTGTTGGAAATAGTCGTGTGATTTTTTTTTCGAACCGGATTCGAAAAAAAAAAAAAAAATTTTTTTTTTTTCACCCAAACCAAATTGATTTATTATCTGTGTATGTATGTTAATAATAAAAAATAAAATAAAATCATTCGAAATTCCAATCCAAATGAAATAAAATGAATTCCTTGTCATTAAAATTATCTTTATAGTGAAAATCCATGTTTATGTGTCGGTGTGTGTGTGTGTGTGTGTGTGTGGACAAGATCATCACCATCACCAAACATCAATCTTGTCATTTATAGAAAAAAAAAAACAGACCAGGATTTCATTTCAATTTATTTCCAAACATGTTTTGTAATTATTATTAATCATCATTGACCAATCAACATTGATCGATGATGATAATGATCACACGAGGTTTTTTTTATGTATTAAAATTAATATAATAAATCAACAACTAGCCATTTTAATGATCTGATTTTTTTTCAGGGTGTCCAATGATGATCGTCGATTATTAACAATTGATTACGGATTTATAAGAAATGGAATTTTTTTTCTAACTTATTTCCTTCGGTTTATCAGGGCTTTACATAGATTCTTTTTCAATGGAAAAATTTTCAATTTAGTTTAAATTGTTTCATTCAAGCATGAAGATTCTATAATGATTCTTTTGTGTCTGTGTTAATGATGATCATCATTATAATCATTAATGGACACAGATCCGGTAGTCTTCAAGCAATTCAATGTCAATGTCAATCAATTTCTATATGTAAATAATCCCATTTCTCACCGAGACAGGATAAACCTTCCAATCTCGACCTGTTGACCTGATTGCAGCTGATTTAAGGATAATCCACACATATATTCAAAAAAGCATTACCATACGAATGTTTGATTGGATTTATCGAATCGAATTTTTTTGTTTCTTTCAACAACATTCATTCGATAATAATGTTAATTATGCATCAATGCTAATGATCAAACGCCATCGTCACCAGGACTGAAATAATTTTCATAGAATTTTATAGAATTAACCCTATCGTTAAATCCGAGATTCATGAATGATAGATTCATCATTATCGAAATACAATCATTGGCTCTGTGAATGAAAACTAACAATTAGTCTATCAAATCAACCGAAAACGAAACAACAACAACAACAACAACAAAATAAAAAGAAAATTTCGAAGAAAATACCAAGAAAATGAAAAAAAAAAAACAAAATAACTGTCCCTAAGTCATTATTTTATACTGTTCTGGTTTTTTTTTTTGCTTTCTTCGAAAATTATCTTGAACTAGATTTGAACACAATGTGTAAATGATGATTGTCATTCAAACGAATTTCTATCTAGTTTTTCTCTTTTATGAAATGATGATTAAGATTTACAATTCAAGACCAAAAACGATTGTGTATGATGAACATGGTGAATAATGGGTGTGTGTGTGTGTTGTGATTTTTTTGTCGAAAACCATTTACACCTGAAAACAAACAAACAAACTGACCGTGGCAACAAGTGGTTCCGCGTTTGCATACTACGACAATAATAGCAAGATTATTATCGATTATCTTGAGGGGCCATTATCATCATCATCATCATCATTTACACCAGAAAAAATGTGACATTTTCACAAGAATCATCAAAGAATGAATGTAAAAAAATGCTTCAAAAAAATAATGGCAGATTTATCCGTTTTCCGTATATATCCTTGATGATATTCAAATTATCATCATCATCATCATCATCATTATCATGGTCGATGGTCACACACGACGTAAACGACGACGATGATCGTTATTCTCGTTTCTACCAAGTCTATACTGGTGATAATAGGTGATGATGATGATGATGAATGATGTGATGGAAAAAGTGGGTATTTATTTTTCAATTAGAGCTTTAAAATTGTCCCATATGAGAATAATGACAACGACAACAACTGCAAAAAAGAATTTCTTCAGACATTTGACCGAATTTTTTCTGTTTTTGTTTTTTTGTTTGTTTGTTTTTTTTAGTTTTCCCAGAAATTTTTTTTTGTTCATCTTTAAATGTTTTTGGACAATTCAATTTTTCAATTAATCATAATCAAAGCAAGTGAATCGAATAAAAACAAAACAACAAAAAAAATCTGTCTGTGAATTAAAATGAATAACAACAGCAAGAAGAAGAAGAAGAAGGTAAGTAAAAAACTTCATGGGTTGTGATCATCAAGAGTGATTAATTATCATTATCACCTTTAGCGAACAATGTCTTCAGATCCTAAATGGCCATGGTGTGTGTGTTGATCATCGTTTTGTTTTTGTTTACATTATCGGATACATTATCAACATGTTTGATATGTTTTTTTTTACACCAAACAGAAACAAAAAGGTGTGTATGAATGATGTGTGTGTCATATGACATTGATTAAAATTGTTTTTTATTTTCAGATTTAAATTTCGGATAAACATAGATATGTGGTCAACAGAATCTATTCAGCTTTCATATATTAAAGAATCAGAGAAAATTTAATTCAAATGGAAATCATAATGATGAATTGTTGTTGTTGTTGTTGTTGTTGATCATCATCTTTAACAATGTTTATTATACAGGTGAAATTTTTCATTCTAAAATTTCTCTTTTATTTTTTCTTCACTCACTATTTGATTTTTTTTATTTATTTGTTTATAAAATTTAATTCAATGATTTTGATCATCGTCACTGATAACGCTCGTAGTACGTAGTACGTATGAGAAAAAAAAACAAAATGATGATGAGAATGAGTTATATGAGGATTTTCTTCTTCTTCTTCTTCTTCACTTACATTATGTCTGTCTATGTTTTGTTTTTAACATCATCATCACCATCATCATCGTTTCAAATACAAACAGGTCAAGGTTTATCCAATATCATTAATATCATCATTATTATTAACGGAAACATCCTATGGTTGAATATTTCTGTTTCCATCAATCATACACGCAAATGTATGACACATACACAGACAGACTGACTGATTTACAATTTCCAGACATTTTGTATACGGATTCAAATTCAAATACCACCCCTTAGAACACATTTTTCTTAAACTATCATGTTGTTCCATCATCGTGTTTCAGACAACAGTTCCATTATAATCATTATCATGACTAACAAATTGTGGTGAGTGAAATGATGATGATATCATGATGGTCATTTTGATTTTAATATTTTTCATTTACTAATAGCGAATCAAATCCGGTAAAAAAAATTGTCTCATCATTTCTTCAACCAACTAGGTGGTCTCGCGATCTCGTTGTTTTATCTGACATTGTCGATAATAATATCATCATCATCATTATGGAAAATGATTGTAGTATCATGATTCGACAAATTGATATTGTTTCGATATTAAATTTCATGGCCATTATATATCATCAATCAACAAATCGATACATTGTATCCAACCAAGTATTTGTAAAACATTGATCAACTCATTTTTCATCGTTATGATGAATCTATCACCAATCTTTAAAATTCTGTAATATTCAAACCAGATTCACACTAACACACACACACACACAGTCTAACCTATGACGATTGATTGATGAAAACACCGTTCGATTTTTTTTTCTTACTTCGATCCATTTTAGATGAACAAACAACAAGAATAGCAGCCTGTGTTTTGTGTTTCCATATCATCAAATAGGAGGGTCTTTACAAGAGAAAAAAAACGATTTTCTTTTTTTTCATAGTTATCGTCGCCTTCATCATACAACATACCAGCCAAAAAAAAAGTTGTTTGTCCATTTCATTCGTTTCTGTGCCATCCACATTTCATACGACCAACATTTTTTGGTCGATTCATTCATTCATTCATTCGTTCGTTGTTGAAAAGAAAACCCCGTAAGCAATCTGAAAATCAAAAACAGCCAATAACTCCAAATGAATCTTTTGTCTGTGTGTGTGTGTGTCTAGTTCATTAGGCAAATGAATGAATGAATGAATTAAGAAACAAAAAACAAATCCATCGTCTTTATATAAAGAAGTGATCAACAATTGTGTGAACCAGTTATTCAATATTGATGAAATCAATTTTAATCACCATTGATTGATAATCATCTTGATACATTTGAAATTTATGAATTTTCTCACATATCGCCTGTTTTTTCACGATTAACTGTAAATTTATTTATTATTTGTAATCATCGATATTCTCTTATTTCCTTGTTTGACAATTTCAAATTTCAAATTCATCTATCGATAAATTTTTGTAGCCTTCATTTTTTTTTATCATGATTTATCGATTTTCAACATATTAATTTTCAAAACATTGGTGAGTGTGATTTTTTTTCTTTTTGCTTTCATTTCGTTTTTAATATCGAATAATAATGAATTAATGTGATGATGAAAAATGAAAAAAAAAAATGTTTGAAATAGCCACTATCTATTTTCAATTGTATGGAAAAAATGATCGATTCAATTCAATTGATCGATCGATCGATCATTCATAATAGCAATTGATGGTTTTATCATTATTGAATGATGCAAACAATAGGTTGATCAATACCTGTGAAAAAATCATACTGATATCTGTATGATTTTTTTTTCTTCTCAAAACTTTCATTACCACCATTAATCACTACATTCATTGTATTTTCAATAGCCAATATATCAAAACAACAGGTGTATCGTTTGAAAATAGACATGTTTTTTTATCCATATTTTTTTATTATTAATTTTCATTGAATTTCTATTTTTATTGTTGTATATTATCAAATGTCGATATTGTTAAGAATCAATATTAATGACAAGCCGATTAATCGTCGTGACATTAAATAAGAGTGATTAGTATTCATCGATCCAATTATCACCCTCTTATAGAATAGAATCGATAGCAAAAAAAAAAAATACAAATGTACGAACAGATGTTTCTCACAATATTCATCCACACAAACAATCAATTCGATAATGGTAAATACCCTGTCCCTCTCTCTCTCTCTTAGCTAATTGATTGTCACATTATAATCAATTATCTGAATTCTAACACCTAAGTGTAATCTGATCTCATCGTCGGTTTGGCTTTTACCATGAAAATGTCATATAAACTAAACCAATTTACATGTGCGCAAACACAAGTGAGTTAGAGGGCCGTTTTTTATTTAAAAAAAAATTCAAACATTTTAAAATGCCGGTTGAAAAAAAACAGGAACCAAAAAATTTTTGAACTCATAAGTGTCATAAGAATATACAATACACTTTTGTGTTTCAATGATAATAATGATGGAGTTAGTTATAGCTGGTAATCATAATGATCTTGTTGCCGGTATTTTGATTCTCAAATCAATCAATCTCAATAAATCGGTCTTTTTTTATGTGAACATTATTCATGACAAAAGAAAAAACAAACATACAAACATTTTTTCGTTGCGTGATCATCATTATTCTGATTGATCAATCGAATCCATTCACATTGTTTGTTTTTCGATGGAATTGAATGAATGTTTTTCCACATTGAATTTGCATTCATTTCAAATAATAGTAAAAGAATAAAACCGTTTTTTTTTGTTTGTTTGTTCTGAATAATGCCCCCATTATTATCTATCCGAAAATCCAAAGGTGATGATAACAACAAACTTCGAATGATGACAATTTGATCGATTCAATTGTTATCATCATCATCATCATCATCATTGAAATCATGGTGATTTAGGTCGTCTGTCCGAAGATCTAGATTCGATTTTTTTTAGTACTATTCGATCAACCATGAATTTCAAATTGAAAACGAAAAAAAAATCTTAAATCAATCAACATCAACAAAATGGGATAACAAATGGAACAAGCTAGTGCTTTACAGTTTTTCATTTTAGATTTTTTCATGAATGATAATGATTATTAATTTTTAAACATTTTGTACACTAATCATAAATTGATGATTTTTTTGTTTTTTTTTTCAATAATAATTTTCTAGTAGATCAGCAGCAGCATCAACCTTTACATAAATAAGAATGTCATCCATAACGATTCATCATCAAATGGAAAGAAGGCGGCTTCAACGAAAACCAAAAACATCGTCATCATCATCATCATCATCCATATCGTCGCATTTGTTGTTTGTATCATCAAATTATCAATCGACCATTTTGATGACCATCATTATACAGCTATTGATTGTAAGTATACACACAGTTTTCTTGATTTTTGTTCAATGCTTTTTTTTGGCTATTACCGCTTCAAATAAATGCCGATTGCGTGTGTGTGTGTGTGTGCATGTCATAGTAGACCTAAATCTAAGAAAATTAGAATATAAAGACAAACCAAATTTTTCGTTTTCGTTCTACTAAAATTATTATTGGTGTTTTGGTGATTATGATGATGATGAGTATATATGGTCACAATCTACATAAAATGTAGTTCATCTAATACAATATATTGTTGTTATAAAAATTGGCCTCTGGTCATTGAATAAAACTAAAGGAATATAACATTTAAAAAAACATTTTAAGACCAAATTGATTGAAAGTTTTAAAATTTAAAAAATTCACAATAACCGATATTCGATATAATTATCGATTATCACTTTGTGATGCGAAATTATCTTTTTACTGAATTTAATTCAACCAATCCAACCAATGTTGATGATAATGATTTTTTTTCGCATATTTACACATTCACCCAGGTATACAATACACTAATTGCTTCGACCGAGATTCCAATGCAAACATTTGTGATTTCATTTCCGATATCCATTTCCTGATCAATTATTTTGAATTTTAGTTTTTTTTCAAGAAAAAAAAACTCTTTAATTCATTGCAAATTGATCAAATCGGATCGGATATTATTCAAACGAGATCTTGATGTTTTAAATTTTTTGATTAGTTGATTACTTGATGATCCTTTAGAATGTTGTTTTTTTTTTTTGACAAAAACAAAAACCATCAAACAACAAAATGATCATCATGAACATAATCAGTAGTGCCTCGAGTGTAATGAAAATTTTAAAATTATAATGCGAAAAAAAATCTTCAAGTTCAAGGTTCATCATGTGTGTTTGTGTGTGTGTGGTGATATGGTAACGAAAAATTTCGATCAAAAAAAACTCATGATGATATTTGTGATCATAAATCATTAATAAGTGGTTGTCGTTTTTTTTCTTCACGCGGATTTTTTTTCCCTGGGTTATATATCACGATATATATAACTGTATCATACATGTTTGACATTCAATGTCAATCAATTTATATAAATACATACGAACACACAAACAAAACAAATTACCGTAGTTTAATTTTGCAAACCAAAGCATTTTCATCACACACAAGAAGATTAATCCTTTTGGCTATTTTCAATATATATAGTTTTTTTTTTCTCAAATTTCAATGTTTAACTTGTTCACGCGATCACAAATTTTATGTTTACATTAATCTTTTGGTATTTTTATATTCAAATAAGAAACAGCAGCAGCAGCATCAGGTGGATTTTGTTTTCATCTCTCCATTTTTTGATGATTATGATTATCAATCCTTTTGATATTTGTGGAAAAAAATTTTCTTTCTCAACACACTGGTTTGTTTGTTGTTTACTCAGTATAATTATTCTTTTTTTTTTATTGACTTGCACGAAAAAAATGCGGAAATTTAATCCCAATATTTTAGTTTTTTTTCATTCTGTTGAAAATTTTATTGAAATAAACAGACAAAAACAGCTATGTAAGTGTGTGTGTGTGTGTGTGTGTTCCATCATTAATATGTAATCGAAGGAATAAAAAAAATTATTAATCATAATTATAAATTTGTTTTTTTGTTGTTGAAAAATTATCAGATGGACAGGTTAAATCAATCATTACCGATTTACTTGTATAAAAATAATTTTTTTCCACATTTATTCTCTTAGATTTGTCTGAAAATTGCCAACAATTATGTTGATGCTTTCGATTATTGGCGTAAACTTGGTATGTTTGATTTATTAGAAATTTATTTTCTTCATTTCATTTCTTAATTTTACAATACAATTAGGTCCATTATCAGCCGATCTAAAACTTGGTACCACATGTCGTAATTCTTTGGAATGTTTACTATTTGTACCACATAGCCAATGTGATTGTCAAACAAATGTTTGTTCATGTCAACCATATCATATTTTATTTAATCAAACTATGTGTCTACCTGGTATGTTTAAAATATTTTAAATTATACAGCAAAATTTTATGGACATTTTTTTTCCTGTATTAAATAATATAATCTAGCATCATTACTTGGATATGCATGCAGTGTAGATGAACAATGTACAGCTCGTGTTTCGAATGCACAATGTAACAATGGATTATGTCAATGTGAATCAAATTATCTTCCACTTCGTCGTGATAAATGTTTACCACGTATGTTTATTTTTAATATCTATGATCATAGCTTTTCATTTTATTTGTTCGGATTTTTTTGTTTGTTTGAAATATCTAGCTGCTATGGCCGGCGATTTCTGTCTGAATGAACAACAATGTCTTATGGGTAATAAACATTCCAAATGTAAATACATTATTCCACGAATATATGGTAAATGTCGCTGTTTGGAAGGTTTCCATCAAACTAAAGATAATCATTGTTTGCCAAGTAAGTTTAATTTTTTCAAGAAAAAAACGTCGAATGATGATTATTTAAACCAACACAATATTACAATTTATATAATCAGATCTACAAAGTTCATGTAATGATTCATTTGAATGTCAACAAGTGACACCAAATTCTTATTGTGCCAAATCATTGTTTGGTTCGAATAAATGCCAATGTAAACCCGGATTCCAGGAATCTAAAGATCAACAAACATGTCGACCATTGCCAACGACAACGACAACTACTACTACGACGACGACGACGACGACGACTGAACCACCAAGACAGATTATAACGAATGATGATCTATTACCCAACATTATCGATGATGATGATGAAGAAGAAATTTCATTTGAAGATGAACCACAAATCCGTAATGCAAATGCCGTTTCATTGGGCAAACCATGTAATCATTCATTCGAATGTCAACTTCGTGATCCATATTCTCGATGTATCGATGGTATTTGTGAATGCACTAAACGTTCCGATAATTGTAGTGCACAGAATACAGGATGTCATGCCGATACATTTCAATGTCGTAATGGACAATGTGTTTCTTGGTATTTTGTTTGTGATAACAATAATAATTGCGATGATGGTTCTGATGAAATTGAATGTGAACCATATAGTAAGTTTATTTTCAAGTTATTCCAAATTTCTTACTAATAATTTTTTTATCTTTGAAAAGATTGTCCAAAAGAAGCATTTCAATGTAAATCTGATGGTGTTTGTGTGGCAAGACAAACAATTTGTAATGGCAAATGGGACTGTACAGATGGATCAGATGAAGCTCTCTGTCATAAAGGTTTGTCATTTTTATTTGAATTTTATGTTTAATCACCATGTTAAATCAAAATCCTTAATTATAGGAAATTCTTGTGATAGTCAAGCTTGGCAATGTAAATCTGGACAATGTTTACCTCAATATGCATTCTGTAATGCTGTTCCTGACTGTCTTGATGGTAGCGATGAAGATGAAGAAATCTGTGAAAGCTGTAATTAGTAAATTCAGATCTTTGTAATATATCCACTAACCAGTATTCTATTTTTTACCACTTAATTAGCTATGACATGTCCAAATGGAACATTTACATGTTCAAATCGAATGTGTCGATCAACGGCTATTCTATGTAGCGGTGTAGATGGATGTGGAGATAATAGTGATGAAGAACAATGTGAAGTTTGCTGTAAGCTTTTGTTTGAAATTTCTTTTTTTTCTAGAAGCCTAAAATTTTTTCATTTACTAATAAATAGATTGCCAGAAACCATGATACTCATTATATGATATTGATAATGGACAATTTGGATCTTGTAAGAGGTCATCAACGCCATATATACACATCATTATCATTGGATACCAAATTTTCATCTTTTTTTCTCACAAAATTCCAAACTCATTTTTTTTAATTTATTATCATCATTACCATTACAATTTTTCTTTTGTCATCGTTGAAAAATCGAATGTTTTTTCTTGTAATTCTTTCAAGCTAAAATTATCATCATCAAACACAACTAAAGAGCCTGCCCAAATAAACTAAATCAAATTCCAGTCATCATGGCCAATTAATGATTGACCATTCAAATGACTGGCTAACTTTTTTTTTAAATATGTGCAATTTTTTCTTCATAAATGAATCATTTTTCAGTAATGAAATTTTTTTTATATTGATTTTTATTGACAATTTTTTTTTGTTGTAAATATAATGCTAAACATTTATTCTATTAATAATATAATATATTCGAATGAATTAATTGTGAATGATTTGACTATCGATAATCGTATATGGATGAACAATAACCTAATCGATAGTTCGTTCGATGGTGATGAGGTGTAAAATCGAATTTTTTTTTTTGTTGAACCATAATCGACAATGAATTCGAACATGAGGAAGGGGTTGCTAATCACATATTCATCACACAAATCCATCTCATTGGTTATCAATGAAAGGATAAAGCGTTTGTTTCATCTTTGCCCACTACTACTCCAATACAATTGTCGTTTTACAAATATAATAAAAAACTCATCGTTTGAACACAAATCATTTCATTTGATTAATCACTTTTGATAATCGCTCAAACAATTGATTTGTTTTTTCGTTCGTTCAAAATGGCGGATTTTTTTAAAATCGAAAATGTCTATTCATCATCGTTCGAACAACAACAACAGCAACAATATATGATGATGGATATGAATCCCTATTTCAAATGATGAAAATAATAAAAATGTTCTACTCACTGTTGATGATGTAACAACAACAGCATCAGATACAACCTCATATCATTTGTTATCGAATCTTAATCAAGATTATTATATTAATCATAATTTTTTAGATCAGCCTGATATGGTACAATTATCGAACATAAATTGTCCAAATGATAATAATGGCAACAAACAAGGTAACGTAAACATTTAAGTGCTTTATATAATTTTTCTTAATTCGACTTCATTTCAAATATTTAATTTCCATTTATAGTTGATCTGGCAGCAATTTCCACACAACCTGTAGTCATCAATAACACTGATTTCTATTATCACGATACAAATTTGAATTATTCTCCGATTTCCGAAATGATATCGACATCTCCACAATCTACGGCTTCAAATTTTTCAACATCATCAACTGTTTTGGATTCTGCAATTCAAACACCATTGCCGCAATCAAATTATTATCCATTCAATTATATGGTCTCAGACATTTCATCGCAAAACCAATTGAATGTTACAAACGATTGGAATTATAATAATAATAATATTGATTTGTCTTTTTCAATCAAAATGTAATTCCAGCGCCAATTTCTTCTGTTTCTATGTCTGATGCACAATCTACATTGGTCAATCCAAAATCGATGAATCAACAACAAATCAAACCAACAGCGGCACCCAAGATGAATAAGCCTGTCAATCCGAAGTCTAATTCTAACCGTAAGTATTAGTGTTAATTGTTTCATTTGAAATATTTCAATTTTTTTCTTTATTCAACAGAATCGTCCGATGATTTAGCAAGAAAACTTGAAATGAAACGTGAACGAAATCGTGTAGCCGCAAGAAAATGTCGCAACAAAAAACTTCAACTTATTGAAGAATATAAAAAAACTAATGCCATGTTGCAAAAAGACATTGAAGAATCGGAAGCCGTGTTGCGGAAAATCAATGCCCGAAAATTCGAATTACGAGCTGCATTATTAAATGCATTAAATTCATATCCATTGATATCTTCAACACCTTCGATAGTATTGCAGCAAAATAATCAGCAATCAACTGCAGACCAATAATTTCAATTTCAATCATTAATTAATATAATCGAATTTGAATTGTAATGAATTCAAATTACTAAAATTGACTTGTTTTTTTTTTTTGTTAAATTTGTGCATTTTTCATTCTAAATTGATAATCTTTCCATATCAAATTTTGTTGACTAGATATATATTATTATATTATGATTAATTAAAGATAATTCCAATCATAAACACGTTTTTTTTATTGATTTGAACAAAAGAATCATTAAACAGAAAGACAGAAAAGTGATTCACAAAGATATTTATCAATCTTTGTCATGTAATTTTCGATAAACAGCTTGCATATAAGTGAAAACGCATTTAGGATCCGGCTTGTCTTTAGCAGCCAACATATCATCCACTTCGATCATTGGTGGAACATCAATCTTATCTCTGAAACAAAATAATATGATGATTAAAAATAAAATCAATGGCAAATCTTACTGTAAGTAGTAGTAGTAGTAGTAGTAGTATCACTTACTGAATAGTGTTGAAAGCAATTGTCAGATTTTCTCGACGATTATTCGGATCAAGTTTGTCATATTCAAATGAATCTGGAAAAAAATGATGAATCAAAGCACAGAATGCCATACCATTAGCCCAACTGCTCGAAAAATTTTCAATGTTGACATGCTAAAAAACATAATGAATTAGAAAAAAAACGGTGTATGACAAAGTTAATGTTGAAGGCGAAAAAAATTTTTCCATTATAAAATGCTCATGACACATTATATCAAACCAGATGAGGCGAATAGTTTTTAAAGATTATGGTTGATAATAGACATATAATATGATTATTACCTCATATCCTCTGGTTTTGGCTTTGCTCCATCGAAGCAACATGTCTTTGATCTGGGCAGGAGTAGGACTGTAGGCGTCCCGACAACAACAGTGGGGTGTGCAAGTGATTGATGAATAAAATGAAATTTACATGGATGAATGGTGAAATTTAAGAATTAAAATATAGTCAACATCATCATCATCATTAGGAATTCATGCAGTTTAAGAATCAAATAATGATTGTATAGAATAAAAAAAACTTACGGCATTTTTTAACTTCGGATTCTGATAACAAAAATTCGATTCGCTACTGGAAATTGGATAAAGTTTTTTTTTCACACCAGTGTGTTTTTGATTGTTGGTTTGAAATGAAAATGATCAACTATAGAAAATTTGAAAACTGATTCAAATCGGAAAAAAACACACTAGTGATGATTATTTAAGACAACAACTGGCTCATCAAATAATAATAATAATAATAAAAATGCGAAACATAAAACAAACAGAACATTTGGAAAATATATATAAAAAAAATGGTAGAATTGAATCTAATAAATTCATTTTTGGTATTCAATTCACTTGATGATGACGGATGTAAGACATGCGCGAATGTTGATGATAATCATCATCACCATGATTATATCCGATGCCAACAATTGATCAAACAAGAGAAGACAAACAAGAAATGTAGTAGACCGAATAAAATTCTATTTCGGGTATCATCATCATAGAAATAGACATACATCAACATTATCATTTTGAAATGAAATCTCGGCATAAATCGAGCAATAAGCATCATCAAATAAGATATTCTTCTATATTCATATATGTTTAGTATATATCGTCACTTGGTTAATGGCAAATGATGATTTTTCTTCATCACTTATAAATTCAAATCTCTATATATATATGAACCCCTGTATATGACAGCCATGAATTCGGATATTTCCCAATAACGAGGCAAATAACTAAAACTGCATTGAAAATATAGAATTTTTTTTTTAATTATCACGTATCAGGCTATGTAAAGAATATATATTCATTGATTGACATAAATTCGTTGCAAAGGAAAGCTCAATTGTATTGTGTTTGTATATGAGTGCAAACGATAGAATTTACTCATCATTACAACATGTTTAAATAGATTGCGAAAGAAAACGAAAACGAAAAAAAAAAAAAAAAAAATCAAAATGGCAGAGAAACAATAATAATGATTCAAGGGTTGGTTAATTAGTTGGCTCAATGGCAGAAGAATCCAATTCTGATTTGACTGACGAATGATGATCAAACAAATAAATTATGATTCATTTGAATTTTATTTGTGACTATTTCAATTGTGATGCGGCAATGATTATTGGCATGGATGTCAATGGTTTTCTGTTGTTGTTGTTGTTTCTATTTGCTCGTGCCATCTCTAAACGATGTGGTACCGATGACTTTTTTCAAACGTGGATCTTCCACCAATTCTCCTGGATCGACTGTAGGAAGAATTTAAAAAATGACAATATGTTAAAATGCAAATAGTAAAAAATCAAATATGGATTACCATCGTATCGTTTTAATTCTTCGAGTACAACTTGTTTAGGACCAGCACCTTGTCTTGATACATAATCATATGCTTTCAATAAACGTTTCTTATCTTCTTCGGCTTCTTGTTGTCGTTGTCGAATAAATTCCTGTGCTGGATCATCTTTGGTCATTGCACCAGCAGGTCCTGAACGTGCAGCCACTGAATAGGATTCCAAAATTTTTTTCTTTCGTTCTTCGGCACTTCGTTTACATTGCTGTAGAACATCTTCGACTAAACCTTTGTCATTGATGCTTGGAGAGGATGGTGGTGTAACTAAGTTTTGTATAAACCCCATTTTGGATTAGAATCCATTTCAAAAGAACCAAAATTTATAAAATCGCTTACCTTGTCCGGTTGTATAGATACCAATGTCCATTGTTTTTTTACCACCAGCCGGTGCAGATCGTGCCATCTGATCATACATAGCCAATGTACGGGCTTTATGTTCAGCTGCTTTTCGTTGTCGTTCGTCGATCATCTCTTGACGGCTATTGTTTAATCGTTCCAATTTTGCATCTCGTTTAGCTTTAATAAAAAACAACAAAATTGAATGATGAAAAGCATGAATGAAAAAAAACTTTGGCTAACCTCTTTCGATAGAACGTATTTCTTGCATGCGTCCACGAATCGCTTTCCGATCATCAATATCTTCAGTCTGATCCAACTGTGAAAAGAGAAAGTGACATTATAGTTCCTGTATTAGAATTCAAATTCTTCAATACATTTTTTCTGAAAAAAAACATACCAGATTTTGCAGAAGATTCATATCGGTAAGCTCATCAAGATTAATTTCTTGTTCCATTTTCGGACCCTATACACAACAGAAAAAATGAATTAGAGCATGAAATCGAATTTTAGATTAAAGGTCATCAAGAAGATTAATTAAAAAAAAATTAAATGATACATGCCATGCTGTATGTATGATTTGATTGACAAAGTTTTTTTCTCTCACTCTCTCTATATGTGCGTGTATGTGTGATCTTGAATAGCAATGAGAGAATCAACGACTAAAAATGACTTAAATTGGGTGAAAATCAAACCTCCTTATGAATAAAAAAAAAAGAATATTACTTACACGAAAAAAATGTGAAAATTAACAACAAACAACAAAAACAACAACAAGAAGAAAATAAGATAAACCAATGGGAGAAATATTTGCCCGCACTGTATGTGTGTTGATAGAAAAAATAATTTTTTTAGAAAATTTAGGCAAAAGAAAAAACTAAAATTAAATTATTTGTCTTGAATACAAGCACAGTGCAGTGTGTGTGTGTTTTTTTCTGGTTAATTAATGGAGATGTACGAAATATATAAGAATAAAAAGAATCGACGGTGACAAACGTTGTTGTCGGATAAGACCAACAAGAATGGCAAATATTTTCTTCTTTTTTTTTTGATGCTGCAACAACGACAACAACAACAACCGTTGGTGGCGGCACCGGGCGTTATATTTCTTTTTCAATGTAATCGGTTATTATCTTTGGTTGGTTGACAGCATCTTTTGCAACTACAGGATCGTTTGTGATCACAACAACAAGCCATGTAGCCAAAAGATTCATCCAACAACATCTTCGATGGCGACATGATGATTACGGAATATTTTTCTTTTTTTTTCTCTCTCTTGTTTATTCACGTTGGCATTTTTTGATATAAATGGCAATGGTTTTTCCATAGGCCTAAAAATACCTTTTTTAACCATAATGTCTTTCCCATCCCATCATCGAAATCATTAGAATTCAAAGGGACCATTTCATGAATATAAAAATTCTGTCTGTGTTGGCGATGATGTTTCGAAGTGCTAGAGAAAGAAGATTTCAATTTTTCTTTTAGAACCAATGTTGAGATGTTGCCAATTTTATTTCTATGCTTATACAATTGCAATAGCAGATTGTTGTTTGCATTTGATCACCGAAGAAGAAAAAGAAGACGACCGTAAACAATTTTGTTTTCTACACAGAAAAAAAAATCCAAATCCAATCTAATAAGGATGAAAAGCAAAACAAAAAAATTCATACCGGTTCATAATTTTGAATGGCGAGCTATTGTTTGTTTGTTTATTTCAATTTCAATTTCAATTAAAGATGCAACTGTAATACTTTGGCAATATGAAGAAAGATTCGGTTCACTTCACATTTTTTCTGAACGTTGAACTTTTCAATTTTGTGATCTTGAACATTTCGTTTGTGATTGGATTAAAACGGATCATCCGGATTTTAAACATGAATTAAAAAGAAAAAACAAAAACAATGATTTATTTTTTTTTCAATAACAATAACCATACCATATTGAATATAAAAATAGAATCATGGAAAAAAAACAATCATTTTATTCGACAAATCGAATGAATGTTTGTGACAATAATCATCATCATCGTCATTTTATTTATAAATAGATCATTATTATTGATGATGATGAAATAGGATACATACACACATTCATTTTAAGCCTTTTTCACATGTGAATTTGATTTTGATGACAAGAAAAAAAACACTCAGATCATCGACATCAAATCATAAGACAAACAAAATGAATGAATAAGAAAAAATTATGATGTACGGAAGCCAGTAAATAAATGAAAATACAATGTTCGAATCAAATTTCAAGCAGTAAATTTTTTTTAAATAATAACGTCATTTTTGAACAAACCTCGATTGGTCATCTGTTTTGGCTGTTTTTGTTTTTTTTTTTTTTGCTTTCCAATGATTATTGAGAGATTTTGTGTTGTTTTTTTTTTTGTATTTTATTTGATGTGTATCTTGTGGTCTCTCTGTACGTGTCCAATATATTATTATATTATTATTGCTCATCCGTCATCTGTCTAAATACATTTCACATTTTGATACGTTTTTTCCCAATTATTGAAATCTCTATTTTTATATATTGTATTATAATAAAATTGATTTCTGGTTCACCCAAAATTTTTTTTTTGTTTGTTTGATCACAAACGACCAGCAATTAATAAAAAGACGCACACATCCATACATTCCAACATTCGAATACTCGACGTTGGTGTGTGGTTGCTGTGGTATTAAAAACCATATTGACCACAACAACGATAATGGACACTGCCAAACGTTGTGCCGAAGATTTTGTTTTTCACAGAATCATCGGTGAAGGATCATTCTCAGTTGTAAGTAATTTTTGGATACAAAACGTTTTTTGCTATCAATAATAATAATAATTTTTTTTTGTCAATTCAAATATCCAGGTGTATCTAGCCCGTGATGTTCATACAAAATGTCTATGTGCTGTGAAAGTATGTGAAAAATCACATATTCATCGTGAAAAGATGCACAAAGCAATTCTTCGGGAGAAACAAATTATGAAATATTTGACCGAAAAACAATCGAAATTTATCATAAAATTATTGTCTACATTTCAAGATGATACCCGATTATGTATGTACATTTGTTTCAATGCAAAAATATCCATTTTATTTTATTTTTTTTTTTGATTTTAATCCAATTAGTTTTTGTCCTAAATTATTGTGTTAATGGTGAACTATTATCCTTTATAAATCAACGTGAAATATTCGATCATAAGGCCACATTATTCTATGCTGCCGAAATTCTTTTAGCTCTTGAACATCTTCATCGATATGATATTGTTCATCGGTAAGTTTCGATGATTAATTTTAATTCATTTCATTTTATTAATGATGTTGATTGTTTGATTTTAGTGACCTAAAACCGGAAAATATATTATTGAATGAAAAAATGCACATACAAATCACTGATTTTGGTTCGGCTTTCTTCCTAAATGATCCAACTGGTGAAAAGAATGATCCATTTGATGCCAAATACTCGCAACAACATCGTAGTCGTAAAAATTCATTTGTCGGTACTGCACAATATGTATCGCCAGAAATGTTGACCAATAAAAACATAACTGGCATGTGTGATTTATGGGCATGGGCTTGTATGCTATATCAGATGATTACTTCATCGCCACCATTTTCTGGTAGTAATGAATATAGTATATTTCAAAAGATACAAAATTTAGATTATAAATTTCCGGAAAATTTTCCTGATGATGCAAAAGAATTGATTGAATCAATATTGAAAATAGATCCTACACAACGTCTTGGTGCCGATGATGATATTAAAAGCAATGATGGTTATATATCGATACGAAATCATAGATTTTTTCATCCATTAAATAATGATTGGAATCTTTTAAATAAACAACCACCACAACAATTATTAGCCGTTGCACGTAATGATGTATCAATAGAAGAACTATGCATTGAATTTGAGTCAATGAATTTGGCACCTGGTTTGAATGAGAAACAAATCACTCGGCTACTTTGTCTTTCATTGCATCAAGAATCTGATTCATTTAAACCTAACAATGCCAACAATTGTGATAATAACAAAACTAATAATACAACGTCCATGGTGAACAAACGTAGACACATATTGGATATAACGGCCAAAGAATTTGAAGAACGTTTACGTAAACAAAAAGAAACAAACAAATTTCATCCGTTTGTTGAGAATAATCTTATTATCAAACAAGGATTGATTGATAAGAAAAAAGGTTTCTTTCCAAGACGTCGTATGTTCCTGTTAACAACTGGGCCACATATATATTATGTTGATCCGGCCAATATGGTACTGAAAGGTGAGGTACCATTCTGTAAAGAGATGAGAACTGAAGCGAAAAATTTTCGTAATTTCTATATACATGTTGTAAGTATAAAATATATCCATAATTTTTTTTGTTGTTGCCCAAATGATTATCAGATAATTGCTCAATCTTTTTCTTTTTTTTTCTCGTTTTGTTCCGGCACGCCTCAATCATTATGATATATGATCATCATCATCATCATAATGATAAAAATCTTGGTATAAATATAATAGCCAAACCGAACGTACATTCTCGAAGATATAACAAATAATGCACCCGGTTGGTGTGAAATAATTGACGAAGTAAAAAAACATGCCTTACAAGATCAATTAGCCTCCGCTGCTGCTGCTACTACTATCATTGGTGGTGATGAAGATGGCTTACATGTAAATCAACATTATCATCAACAACAATCATCATCATCATCAACAACAAAATTACTGGATCAACAACAACAACAACAACAACAGAATATGAATAACGGTCTAATAACAATCAATAATAATATCAATAACAACAACAGTAATATCAATAGCAATAGTACAAATAGTAGTTATATAAAAAAATCAAAAAATAGTCTATTTAATTTGAATATTAAAAAAATGACTGTCGTTACGGCCACCAATAACAATAATGCCAACACCGAGAATAGCGGAATTGGTGGTGGTGGTGGTTGTGGTAATTGAGAAAATTGTCATCGTATATAATCTTTATCATCATCATCATCATCATTATCATCGGTCATTCTGATGGTTATTGTCAATGGGAAGAAAAAAAAATTCTATGAAGTAATCAATAAAAGAAAAAGATTCCAATATGCAAGCCCAATGTTTTTTGTTTTGTTTTGTTTTTATTTCGATTCTGTTGAATACAAAAAAAAAAAATGTCACGTAGTATATACAGTGAAAGAAGATGATGATGATGTTTGAAAAACAAACAAAACAAAACAAAAACAAAACTACAATCCTTTGTTCTATAATTTATTTCATTCATTATCAATTTGTTTGTTTAAAATTTTTTTTTTTTTTTTTGATTATCACCACTTTTTTACATGAACACGCAAACACACAAACACAGACATATGTCTTTACCACACACATCATCATGATATATATATATTATATTCGAATCGAATAAACAAAACAAAACAAAATTAGTGGAAATCTGAAATAATAAATTTCGAAATTTTCTATTTGAATTTAAAACAGAATTGTTTGCCTGTATGTTTTTGTTTTTGTTTTGTTTTTGTTGACCACAATATTATCGCCAAATATGGTCATTATTTTTCCGATGATGATTTTTCACATTGTTTAATTGTAAACTTTTTTGTTGTGTAGAAACAAATCGTGACAAATCAAATAAAAGAATAGATCCGGTGATGATTATTATCGATGATGATGATGATGATGATGATGATGATGATGATGATGATGATGATAATCAATAGTGATTATCAAATATATAGTGTATATTATCATCATTATATTTACAACAACAAATGCTACAAAGCATTGATAATTTTTTTATTTTTAACTTTTGATTACTAATCGAATATGATTAACAAGTGAAAGTGGGTGAAAAAAAAACAACATTGCAATAAAGGGACAAAAAGGCGACAAAACTTTTTTTGAGATTAAAAATTTGTGGATTTATAACAAACACACAAAGTTTATTGTTTGATGATAGCGATGCAATCATCAACTTACACACAACTCATCATCATCATCATCATCGGTATTGTCTTGTCTATCAAGAAAGTAGAAAAAAAAGTCATAATTTTTTTTATATATATGTTTTGAAATTCATTTTCAATTTTACTTGAAAAAAATTTACATGTATGCCATGTGAATTCTAAAAAAAGAACAAATTAATATACAAAATCATCACCGTTTATCTGTGTCTCTGTCTCTGTTTTTTTTGGCTTTCTGGCGGTATTTCTTGTAAATTAAATCAAATGAAATGACATCATGATGACACCAGATGAACAACAACAAGAACGACAACCAACGATACGAAGATATATAAGAACAACGGCCAAGATAAAAAGGCTACAAGAAAAAATTTCAACAACTCATTTCCATACATCACGATCATCATCATCATTATCAAGTAAGTGTATGAGTGTGTGTGAAATGAAAAAAAACGCAAAAAAAATTAAGATTAGACAGATATATAACTCATCATCATCATCATCAGCTTGGTGTTATTGAAGATGGAGACATTGAATTTATTTCTTTTGCACATTGAAAAACACACACACATTACATTACATTATTATATGAGCAATATGGATTGATGCAAAGACATGCAACCAGTGTGTGTGTGTGTGTGTCTTTGTGTATGCGAATGTGTTTAATTAATCTTTGTATATTCATATATGTCACACACACACACACATAGAGACACAAAGAAGAATCTTGATTCTTTAGATGCGTATAATCTAAATCTAAGAAAAGAATGATATGAATATGGGTATTGAATGAGTTATACATTTAGATTCATTAACAAACATGCATTCACCCACACATATACACAAACAGATCGACAAAAAGAATTCAACTGTCATCATCATCATCATCAAATGAGAATCATGAATGAAAAAAAAATCATAATCATTGTATGATTGTGATTGTGTGTATGTGTGTGTGATCATTTAAATCATCCATCCATCACTAACGATGATTATGATCTTTTTTGATTATTCAATTATCCACAAATCGATTGTCCTTACATGTTTTATTTGATTGATACATGTTTATTTGTGAATGTGTACATATATATGTGATATTTTAATTTACCATCAATTCAATATAATACAATATTCGTAAATCAGAAAAAAAACAGTAAAAAAAAATAGGCAACAATCATTCTTCATCGCCATCGTCGACTACTAAAACAATGAAAAAGGCATTTAAATCGGTATTCACTAGTGGAGTTGGCGGTGGCGGTAGTACTGGCAAAATCATCACGAAGAATGCCGAATTTGATGAACAACAACAACAACAACAGCAACAATCAGGTTCAATTCTTTTTGTTTGTTTGTTTGTTTTGCTTTGTTTTAAAATTCAATTCAAATTATTCGAATATTTTTTTCTTCATTCATTGTTGTTGTTGTTGTTGATCAATTGATTTTTTCATTTCTCACTTTGTATACTTGTTACTGGAGATGATTCAAAACCACAGGAAATTGATGATAATAATAATAATAACAACAACAACAACAACAATGATTGAATGAGAACAAACAAATTCTTTTTAAGAATTCTTTTGTTGAAAAAATCGTTTCTTCTACAAGCTAACTTTTTTCTATCTTTATTCGGTTGTTTACATTATCGCTATATTTAGTTAGGTTATGTTATATCACACAAACATACACACACACACAAAGCATAGTAATTCTTGAGCAATGTAGACATCTTCTTTTTCGGAAATTCATGTTGCGTTTCATGTGTCTTTACCGCTACTTGAATTTTAAAGAAAAAAAAATAACATACTTATGTGAAAATGCCTCGATGATGATGATGATCGAGAACCGTCTCAACATCAACAACTCGAAAAAAACACTTGTAGAACTTGTGAAGTAAAAGTAAAAAACCAACGTTTATTACGTTGAAAGAATCGGGAGGTTTTTTTTTGGACACCAAATGAGTGTGTGTGTGTTGTAGAGGACAAAGAAAATTCTGTTTGTTATTAAAATTGATTTTTTTTTTGATTGATTTGTGTAATTTTTAATTTTGTAATTCTTCTTATTCCATGTTGTAGATTTAAATGATCAACAATCAAACGAAACACCAATCAGCATTATTGAATGTAATAGTGATTCGGAATCTCCAACACGATTTTATAATAATAATAAATCAAATCCAAAATCGTCAAAATCATCAACACCTGAACCAAGAATGAAAAATTCGGATAGAATTTCCGAAATCTATTCACGACAGGTAATTAAACATTTTTTTGTGTTGTTGTTGTTGATGCATTCTATTAATTAAATTATTATCTATTTAGCTATCTTCATCGGCAAATAAATCCAATTTTCTTAAACATTCATCGAATAGCCGTAAATCTAGCCTTGATCAGGCATTTGATTTCGATAATAATAACAACAACAATGATAATGCCGGCAGTACAGTGATTGTACAACCAGCTGATAGTGATGGTGAAGATTCTTCATCACCATCAACATCACCACCACCATCTTCATCATCATCAGCATTACAATCGATTCCAGTTGAAAGATCAAATGTTATATCACCAATATCGAAATCAAAACATCGTCTATTATCATCATCGGATGCATTTAAAGCACAAAAATCAGCCACATCAAATCAAGAGATGCGTATGCTTATGTCGAATGATTCGAAAATTGCTGAAAAAAGTTCCATTTCTGCAATGAAAGCTAAAATGGAAGGAAATGGATTTGCAGCAGCCAAAATGATTGCAGCAAAAGAAGATCATAAACAAATACAGATTGGTGATACGGTTATGAAAACACAATCATCATCGAAATCAAGTTCAGCATCAATGACAATGTCATCATCATCCACTACTACCGCAGACAATATGATTGGATTTGGTTCAGAGAAAAGTTCTTCACGTTCAGGTTTATTATCATCCAGTAGTCGTAGTAAAGCACTTGGTCATCATCCTTTCAATCTATCATCAGCTAGTTCAAAATTGACTGAATTAATACAATCAATGTCGCCGAAAATGTTGACATTTTCTAGTGAAGTTGATATGGAATTTGATGAATTAAGTTCTATTGCTAAAACATTTAAAAGTCCAATCATATCGAAAACAGAATCGATCAATATGAAAGGATCAATGAATAAATTGGAAAACAAAATGTTGAATCTATGTAAAGAATTGGTTCAAAATCGAAATAATGTTGACATATTGCTTATGATGACTGATATGATTAGAAAAGCCTGGTCAGTACCACAATGTGGTTATGATCTTGGATTTAACATGTCCAAAACAATTCGAGAAACCGGAGCAATAGAAGCATTACTATGTAACATTGAATCTGATGATGAATGGAAGGTACAATTTTCAAGTGCTCAATTACTCGAACAATGTTTGGTTTCAGAAAATCGAGATTATGTTGTTGAACATGGTCTAGAGAAAGTGGTTTGTACGGCCAAAGAATGTGTGAATAAAAAACAACCAGACGAAGTGGTTGTCGGTGTTGGTATACTGGAACATTTATTTAAACATTCAGAAAATACATGTAAAGAAGTGATTAAACTAAATGGACTTGAAACAATTCTTTATGAATGTCGAAGTACAAATATTGAAACATTAAGACATTGTGCATCAGCATTGGCTAATCTTAGTCTATATGGTGGACCAGATAGCCAAGAATCGATGATCAAATTGAAAGCAGCCATGTGGTTATTTCCATTGGCTTTCCATAATAATGATAATATCAAATATTATGCCTGTTTAGCTATTACGGTACTAGTTGCCAATCAAGAACTTGAAGCTGAAGTTATCAAATCCGGTACTCTTGATCTTTGTGAACCATTCGTTATGTCACATAATCCAGAAGAATTTGCAAAAAGTTCAATATCACATATACATGGTCAATCAAAAAATTGGCTAGCCAGATTAGTACCGGTATTGATGAGCAAACGTGAAGAGGCAAGAAGTTTGGCAGCATTCCATTTTGCTATGGAAGCTTGGATCAAAAAAACTCAGGAACAAGCCGAGGTAAAATGATCAATGAAAATTTAAAAAATGATGATGATTTAATTGTTTTTTTTCCACATAGATATTCAGGGAAATAAATGCAGTAAATGCATTGAAAAAAGTAGCCAGTT